AGGAATCCCAGAAATAACGCAATTCGATCAAAGGTACTCGTTAACCACGAACGAATGTACTGTATTTGGAATTCGAAATCAAGCATTCGACAAGTACAAAGGGATCATTAGTTCATTCAAACACCACAGTAATTCAAGAAAAACATATTATCAGCAGGAGTTGTCCAGAAGACCAGTACTGTCTGTGTTTTATCTCCTGTTGAGTTATGTGATATCCTTCGGTTTCGGGCAATTTTCCAATCATTTAGGGTGTGTGTTCTGTGTAAAAAGGTGTCATTTCAATCACAAATGAGAATCCAGGTGATTTTATTCATTGCCAACTAAGATCTCTAGTTTCCAGGGTCGAATTTGATTCCCCTTTCGTGTTTGCAATAATAGCGCCGGGGTAAATCCTAGTACTGATACTGCCTTACTTTTTAGATGAAAGGTCAGTAATAAGTAACTTCGCAAGTCATTCGGGAGCTTAAGTATAAGTTTTTGTATTAGGATGAGAAATTTAGTTACCCTTGGTAGAATTTTCGAAGTGCCAGTCCAACTATATAGCGTATTGTGAACTTACTTTTATATGACTAGCTTGAAAAGTATTCCCATAAGTACTAATTGCCACAGTTCTCCCCCGGTCAGATCTGCAATATTTTCAAGTTTTTTTTGAGAAAATAATTGTTTAAGTAAACTCATCAAGGTGCAATATCACATTGTTGGACCTTGAAGTAACATTCTCGTGTTGGGAGCTAATGAAAATTTTTCGCACAACTCTGAAAGCATATTGTGATTTTATTTTTTTACTGATGATTCTCAACATTTTTGGTTCACACATTTCTTGTTTAGTTTGATACTGTTATTACAATTATCTCCGCTTAACACAGGCGTTCTATAAATAAAAGCTATTTAATTCACAAGCACTGATGTAAAATCAATATACGAGGAATTTAGTTCGATTATAAGCACAGTTGTAAATAATTATCACTTGTGTAACGTTTATGAACCTCAACTGCGCTTAGTTCCTGCTACATATGTTTCTACTCCGTATATATACAGAGTATTACCTAAGTATACTTAGGTAATGTACTGTAGTATATTGCTTACTGTATCATATTGACGGGAAAGGCGTAACTCAAAGATGAATTGTTTTGTAAGGTTTCTGAAAAATGGAAAGTTAACCGTGCGAATTCTCATTTCTAACTAACCCTGTCCTGTCTAAATAACTTTTTGGTGAACTGCAAGCACTTTTAGTGATTTAGAAAAGACTAGTGAAATCTAGTGTTTTTTATGACTTGGGGTGTGAGGTGGAATTCTTCTATCGGTCTACCCTGGAATAAATCCATTATGGCAGACGAATTTCTAATTTCTTGATCTAAGATAGCATTATCAGTCAGTTTTTTCATTGAAGACTTAAACTGACTCAGCGTATAAACAATATACTTAGTGGTGGATGTTAACATCTGAATGCAGGGTCCAAATATCATGAACTGAAAAACAATTTATGGTGACAATTGAATAATATATCCTACTTTGATGATTAGTCTTGCAATTAAAGGCCTTAACTTATACTAGAGTTGTTACATAGACTCAAGAACTCGGCTGGGTTTTATTGACTTATGTAATTTAAGTCATAAGCCAGGTAACTAAGTAGTACTTTCGCTTTTAATATACCACTTGGGATCGCATTATATTGTTATGTTGCTTTGAGACATATCTTTTTAAAGTGAACGACAGTGTGTCTCTATATACTAAGATTGCAATAAGCAGTGTTGATGTTACCCTTTGGATGTCGAGTGGAAAGTCCACTATGTATAAGCATTTACCATGATTTGACCGTCTTTCCAAAAAGAACTGGGATAATATACAGCATAAACATAAAAGTATGACAATCATCCTCCATTTCAATAGTTATTAGCTGACTAATCCCGGGACGGTCTAGGGAAAGCTGATTTATGCGTCATGAACTTCCTTTGTACCATCTTTGTGATGATCCATCTAAGGGATTTCAGAAAATCCTAAAACAGAACCAAACCTTAACAAAATAAGATGTAAGAGTAAATATTTAACAGCTGTCAGGCCAGCAGTCGGTCAGCCGCAACGTAGGACCAGGCACACATGCATCAGTTGCCAGTTGCAAGTTGCCATACCTCATTAGCACAACAAAATGTACGCCGAATTCATAGAAGTAGTTGCTTCAATGGTAGTGACAAATATAAAAGATTGCATGTAAAAATATGGTACAGGATGAAAGAATTAATTGGTACAAAGAAAGGTATGAAGCAACTTTAATCTTATGGTTTAAAGGAAGACAGTGTATACACCTACGCCATTGTGATCGATCCTGAACCATGTCACCCAGAGCCTCCAAACATTCGTTACGATAGTCACGCGGACCCCAACCAAGTAGTCTGCATCTACCAACATGGCTAAGACAAGGAGTTGGTGACTTCAAGCTCTGATGCCACGTTTTGGTTTGGCTGCCCCTAACTTTCTTCTAGCCGTCTCCAACATTAGTCAGCATTGTGCGCCGTGGTAATTGGTGGTTGAACATGTGCAATACGTCACCCAACCATCTCAGTCGATGAAGATTCATAACCTCATCAACTGATTTACCACCATTCCCTAAAACCCTGCGTCTAATCTGACTATTACTTACCCAGTGATCCCAACAGACGCAAGTAATATTTCTGAGGCATCTGTAATCAAATACCTGTAGCTTACGAATATCTTCTGCTCTTAGTGGCCATGTTTTGCAGCCGTAAAGTAGAATAGAACGAACTGCCGCGCAGTATACTTGTCCCTTAATTGTGAGACGGATATCTCGCCTTCGTCATAGGTGACGTAAGATGGTAAAGGCCAAACGGACTTTCCAAATCCGTGCAGAAATTTCGTCAGACACCAACCCATTAGGGCTAACCAAGCCTCCAAGATAAGTGAATTTGTCAACGCGTCCGACTACTTCACTCCCTATCCTTAGTCCAGTTGTTGACGCAGACCAGTCCTGAAGCAACAACTTGCATTTAGAGGGGAGAAACGCACATCAAACATCCAGGCATTGTTGCTCAGTGTTACCAGAAGACTGCATTTTATCAGTGTCTTCACCAAACAGGACTATATCATCTGCGTATTCTAGGTCGATAAGTGTGCCTCCTGGAACGAGATCAATACCCGAGAATTCAGTCGACAAGAATGTTATTTCCATCAGTAGGTCTATGGTGAAGCCTTGACGGACACCACTTGAGGTTGCGAAATCAGATGACAGTTCTCCATAAGCTCTCTCGAGCAAAGAGCCTTCACAAGGTTTATGTACTTCTGAGGTACACCTTTCAATGACGGACACTGCCACAGTATCTCGCGGTCTACCGAGTCAAATGCTGCTTTCAAGTCAAGAAAGACCACCATTGTCGGACGCCGATAAGTATTCCTATGTTCTAGAACCTGACGAATAGTGAATATGTGATCAACGCAGACAGCCTGACTTTCTCCTGTTTTCATTTGACGAGCCTTTGTTGGGCGCCCGATAATTGTTGAGGCTAGTATTTTAGATGCTATTTTAGTCAAACCAATCCGTGCAAGAGGAGGAAACATGAGACGATTGTATGACACAACAATGAAACTCGCTGGAAATTATCGTAAACCAGAACGACCAGTGAAAAGCAGGGAAGGTAATATAATCACCAACATTGAAGAACAGTGAAACACGTGAGTAGAGCACTTTAAGGAACACTTAAGTCGACCAGCCCCATTGAACCCGCCCAACATCGATGCAACACCTACGGACTCCCCAATCAATGTTGGCCCACCAACAATTGAGACCAACATGACGACCAGACAAATCGAGAGCGGAAAAGTAGCGGTACCAGACAGACGTGGCAGTAACTGCAAGTATGCTTCACGTTCTGTTCAACAAGATTTGGGAGGAAGAACAAGTGTCGATGGACTGGAAAGAAGGGCACCTTATCAAGATGCCAACGGAAGGAAATCTGTACAAGTGTGAAAACTACAGAGGCATCACACTACTGTCAGTACCAGGAAAGGTTTCTAACAGGGTGTTGCTGAACCAAATGAAAGACTCAGTAGACACCCAACTTCGAGATCGACAGGCTGGATTTCATACGGATCGGTCGTGCACAGACCAAATCGTGACACTACTGATCATCGTTGAGTCAGGCAAGGTTGCTTACTCTCACCCTTCCTCTTTCTCCTGATGATCGACTGGATTATGAAGACGTCAACATTTAGGGGGAAGCATGGGATATAGTGAACAACTAGGATACAGCTGGACTGTTTAGACTTCGCAGATGGTCTGGCTCTTATATCGCACACGCAACAAAAGATACAGGAGGATACGATCAGTGCAACAGCAGTAGGTCTCAACATACACAAAGGGAAAAGCAAGATTCTCCGATACAACACAGAATGCAACAATGGAATCACACTTGACGGAGAAGATTTGGAAGATGTAAAAACCTTTATATATTTGGGCAGCATCATTGATGAACAGGGTGGATCTGATGCAAATGTGAAGGCGCGGATCGGCAAAGCAAGAGCAGCATATCTACAACTGAAGAACATCTAGAGCTGAGATTTCTAGTTCTTACAGGCTAACTAAACGGCACTTAGCTAAGTATCTATATTGTTATTTGGTAATTGAAAGCCTAAAAAATAAAACATTTGAGCGACTTTATTCATTAAGAAAATGGGATGTTCAGTGTATACTTTTTCTCACCTTTATCGTTTAGAGGGAATCATTGTTATTCTGTAAATCTATTTATCATAATATACGTTCTATGTTATGCTTTTTTCTAGTTCTTTGCTACCTGGTTTATCTTATTCAGTCTCATTCTTCAATAATCTTTCAACACTCTTAGTATGAACCGTAAGAATTGTAGTCGATTCAGATATGAATCAGATTTTATGTCTGTGATTATCAACTGACTATAGTTTTACTCAGTAATCGTGTAATAGTCTGACACAGTGTATCTTGCCCAATTAATAGCTGTATTTTCCTCTTTTAGACTGTATGGGAGTTATTTTGTATCATTCGGACATTGCTCAAGTGGGTTTGTGCGACTCGATATAGGCTTGCTGTTTTTCTCTGTATTTTTCTGCTGACAGTTTTCTTGTATACCATCGGGAAACAGCATCAAAGTAATTCGTGTATGGTTGTAAACTTTGTTATTCCAGGAAGTTACGATAGTCATGTGAATAAACCCATTTTGTACATAATTACTGCTACATACCAAAGAAACGTTCAACGTGCAGAACTAACAAGAATGTGTAACACTCTACGTAATCTGAAGGATATTTTATGGATTCTTGTAGAAGATAGCACAGAACCTTCATGGTAGTCTTTCTTTGGTTTGGTATTTAGTATGTTGTTTGATCAGTCATTTATATCTTAATATACACTTTTCTTCATGAAACTACTAATTGAGTTCAATTAGATGAAAGCTTTATACCTTTTAATTGCTCTTTTTTGAATTTAACTTGGTTGTTGCTAGTCGCATCTACCTTAGTGAAGTTTTTTCTAACTATTTGAAATATGATAATGTGATAAGTGTACTTTATTCTCTTTTAGGGTTGTATCAAATATTTTAGATGATTGTGGTGTCCCTTTTGTACACCTAAATATCCCAACACCACAGTCAGAAAAACCTAAAGTGAATGAACCCTTTTGGTTTCGTCCTAAGGGCATACTTCAACGTAATCTTGGACTACAATGGTTGCGCCAGAATCTTATTTTAGGTAGAAACAAAGGTGTCTTATACATCGCCGATGATGACAACTCCTATAATTTACGTATTTTTGAGGAAGTAAGTTTATAAATTTTTGTATGCTTAATTTTCATCATACTAAATTAATGCAGCTTATGGACACTTTCTTTTTTTCCACTTCATTAATTGTCAGTTCCTGTCAGAAAAAACCACGATTGATCAGGATAGTTGGTCAAAGTTATTGACATACCAACTGTTCTATTTTACACCTTAAGGTGAGACTTGGTTCAAGTTCGGTTGTAATTGACGACAATTATACTGAGCTATATCGTTTGCTCAGATTCTACTATGGCTGGTAAGTCGGTTAGAAGCGCAAATAATTTATTTGTGGAAGAGATCGTACCATCAAGTTTATCAGAGAGTATCGGAAGTTAGGTATTTCTCATAAATAACTAGCGTCTTAGATCCTGACTTCTCATAAATTGGGTGAACATTTAGAAAGCACGAGTCATATGAACAGCTTTACTACCTTTGTCGAATAGACCAGGTTTCACAGAACTGAAGTAGGACTCTGCACTAACATGGTGCTACATAGATACTGAAAATGGTACAACAGTCCTGTAGATAATGGGAAGAAAAGAGTGAATTTTAATAGATAGGCTTTTAAATCGAAAAATCGATTACTTCTTGTCTTAGTTTGCCGGATATTAATAAATTAGGGATATAAAGTTTTTTATTTCCTAGTGTTACAAAGTGCCATTTGAAATGTCTGTTTAAGCAGGACAAAAGGATGTCAGTCTGTCTCACTTTCAAATGTTTCAAGCCCTGGTATTTTTTCTCCGCTGTTTCATTACCAAAATAAACTACTTCGCTAGCACATATTTCATAAATTAGTCACTAAATAACAAATTCATGGCAGAGTATTAAAGCTCAAAAACATTAGTAGTTTTCATCTGGAAATGCAAATAAAAGCTTGACTAGAAACAAAAGATATTGACTTCTTTGTACCGTTTATTGTATAAATTTAAGTATGAAAAGTTCATCCATAACTTCAGATGCGTGGTACAAACAAAGTTTCAACATGGCCGGTTGGATTTGCAGGTGAACTCCCATGGGAGGGTTGTGTGACGTCTAAAAATCGGACGCACATTATAAGTATGTGGTCAGTATACAAACCCGAGCGTCCTTTTCCAATTGATATGGCAGGATTTGCAGTTAATATTGATCTTATTCTTCAACACAAGAATGCTGGATTTGACTACAAACGTTTACGTGGAATGCAGGAATCACAATTTTTGTTAGATCTTGGTTTAAAAAATTGGAGAGAATTGGAACCACTAGCAGATGGTTGTCGGAAGGTAAGTTGTACTGTTCTCAAATTTTATTATGCGTATGCTGGTACCTGTTGTTGATCCATATCCATCTTTATGTAGTACGTCACTTGTCGGATCGCGAAAGGGTTTTTGACATTTTAGTGGTATTCACTACACTTATTTTGAAATATGCAGTGTAGAAATCTTAATGTGTCGTGAAATTTCGTCGTAAAATTGAATTCAATACCTAACCCCTGCTTTTATTGTTCGGTCACCTAAACTTTTCATGTGGTTGTTTATTATTTGGCCACTTCATCATTATATTTGTCTGTTCAATTACCAATATTGTGTTTTACAGCTGCAGTTATTCTGTGTGCACTCAACTGACTAGCACAAGCATTCAAGCTGAATATTATCTATTTATTATTAACCTAAGACGTTGATTTCAAGAGTGATAGAGAATGACAACAATGCGGGTTTTGATTGTTCATAATGATAGATATTTCATAACTAATAAGAAATCAACAACCGGAAGCATTGACACTAAACTAGAAACAATAAAAATTATAGCGTTAACATAAATGAATACTTGAAACTAGATGATGTTCGTAGACTAATAGTATATGATCATAGATGCCTTCAGAGTGTTTCTCGTGGATGTTGGAACCACCAACCAATGTTGAAGTTAGATACATTGTACTAGGTGAGAATGACAAATTTATTGTTGAGGCGGTAAATATCCGTTGACTGTAATAATCAGGTCATGTACTACCTACACCCAACCACCAACGATGATGACGTGTAGCAGTAGGTCGAAAGAAAGCTAACGGTAACCAAACTTAGACTTTACATCAGTCCTTAAAGTCACCGACTATTGGATGAAGCTATATAGATGAGTGTAGGCGGCTGGGTAATATCTGCGCGATTTTCGTAACCAATGATTAGAGACTTTGGGTGATTTAGCGGGGCAGGTGCACTCAATGTTTATCTTCTCTCAAATCTTAAGTTTCTAAATTTTTTTGTGACTTCTTTACTTCATGAATCCATATTTTCTTGAATGCTATCTTCTGTACTTAGTGTTTCCTAATACTGCTAACACTGTGCTGCTTATACGTCTTCTTCCTGTGATGTGATGTAGCAACTTAAATCGATGCACAAATATCCTAGGTTTTAGAGGAGAAGCGAAAAATCATCTCTTTCGCTGTTGCTAAAATTGTTAACATAATCTGAGCATTCACTAATATCATATTACATGTACATTCGTATAATTATTCAGCTTATTTTATTCCAAATACTTTTTACAATCTCCAGACATAATACAGTTATTATTTTTCGCTTGATAGTAATTTACCACAGTAACTAATTCACCAAGCATATGAGTGTGTGCATCTCTTTAAGTATGAGGACTGGTGATACTATCCAGTAGTTCAATCTCAAGCAGATAAAGCGGGGTTTGAAATTGGGATTTAGTAACTGCAAACCACTCCGCTAATAATAAAATAGTATTCGTAATATATTGATTCCTTGGTATAATTTAATCTGAAACCATCTTCCAGCTGTACAACTATCTCTTTTTTACTTTTCACCTAGATTCTAGTGTGGCATACACGTACAGCAGAACCACTTTTAACACTATGGAATAAACTGGAATCGCAAGGAGTTATAGCTCCACCTATAGATGATTGGCCCTAAAATATGTAGTATGATTCTAAAAGAAAACAATTATAATCTGTCTGTCAAAATACTTTTTACTTAGGCAGTATTCACTTATTCAATCAACTGTATTCAAAAGAAACCAAAAGTTACATCTAAACGTCATACATAATCAGTCATTCAAATTGTTCATAATATAACGCATACATTTTCTTATGTAAATAATATATAGTTCGTATCATATTACTTATTATTTATAGAAATAAAATATTTTCGAATTTCTATCATTTTTGTATATATTCTGAGTTGCTCTTCTCACTTGTTTATTTGTAATTGTGATTGTTTTAATTCCTTTTGATAAATAGTAGTTATTGTGTATAATTTATTCAGTTCGGTTTTTTTAAAACAAAATCCTTGCTATCACACAACGAAGCTATATGGAAATCAACAATTACTGTGTAGTTTGATCAGCCAATGAGAAACGTGGTTTTCACGAATTGAGTTTTCAATTCAAACAGCTTCCGCATAATTTCCGTTTTGTATTCGTGTGATGAATTAAAGAGATAACTACGTACATGTCTGAAGTTCACAGAGTACTGAACACGAAGTTTACAATGAAATACGCTATTCTAGTCTAATTAGTTTACTTTGTACTCACTAAGACCGCTTTTACTGTATTTCTATTCGTATATATATTTCGTGTACCTATAATTGGTTGCCTATCCAGTTATTTAAATATTATTTTGTTATTACTGCAACTCCCATCTCATCATATTGTTTTGTACGTGATTGGTGTTGAATTTCAGATATGATTATTAATTCCTATCAATTATTGCATACAGTACAGTATAATTTGTCAAGTCAAACAGTGGTAATTTCGACTCTCAGTTTGATATACAAACGCGTACGAATTATACTGATTTATATTGGCTATTATATCAAGTTTTTCCTACACTTGTTTACTATCTTTTGGATTGTGTACTTTGTATCTGTTGTTTCCATTGCATCCTGTATTTTCTAGAGTATAGTAATTCTACTTGGACATAAATAAAATTGATGACTTTCATAGGGAATATGGAGTTGTATTTTCTTCATATTAGACTTTCAAATCTGACTTCATTTAATGATTCATTTGCATGGCCGTGTCATATAGTTTCACCTTATGAACTAGATAGATTATAACACTTGTTTTCCCTTTCTCAGTGAAATCATGTTAGTAATAGGATAATGAGACGGAATTTGTCATATTCTTCCTTTCATTTGTGGTAAGTCAGTTGTAACATGAAGACTACAATGAATTTCGTCTCATTTTCCTGTTACTGGCGTGATCTCCATGAGAAGAGAATACTGAGTGACTAAACAACATGGTAAAAGTAACTGGTTTATCTTATATATTTCTGATGAGTTACCCTAGGAGTAATTAAAAGCCTATAGTGCATATTACTGGGAACACATCACAGTAATTTATTGCTCTGCAGTCTGTTGATGATATCTTCGCTCCATAAAGTGGGTCATATTTCGTGTTTCGATTTTCATATTTTCTGAACTTTCGATGGGAAGACTTGCTGTTGAAGGCGCTTCAAGTTTCTTTTTCATTATCAATATTTCAGACCTATGTAAATCTTTTCATTCCCATCCACACTTTGAACTGTGCTGACTACTCTACACCTTTTACACTTTAAAGTTCATAGTAATTAGGATGACATGGATAAGGTAAACTTTATAAATCGTACTTGATTTTCGATCCTTCCTGATATAACAGATTAGTCAGTTGTATATTATAACAGGTTATTAAGTTAGTCCATTAATTCTGGTTTCGCTTCTTCTAATTCACGTCAATGACTGTCGTTGTTCAATGAGTTCCGATTCCTCCATAGACTTAAATTTACTAACTTGGCTAATTCATCGTATAAATGCCATTTACATTCACAGCAAAAAGCCATTGCTTTTCGAATAAGGATTATATATGTTGCCGTTAGATAGATGTTCTGTATTTAAGTAGAATTTAGACAACTATTCTATACATGCAGCAATAGAACGAGACCATCTTAGATTTGATAGAAAAGATATTTCTCTCCAACCATAAATAGTGGTATGTAAAAGTATTTTTTTCGATAATTCGTCTTTCCCTATTAAAATTTCTTTTGTACGCTGAAACTGTTGTCCATATATAGTACAAAACTCAAGACAACATGAATGGTATGACCTCCAATCCATTTCATAGTGATATACACTTTCAAACTCATCAATGTTCAACACTAGGCGGGCAAAAAGTGCCATCACTTTGGCATTTCAATAATCAATAGTAGTGTCTCATTAAACTATTATGAGAAGTAGATATTTTGAAACTTCGTAAATTCCTAATATTTTCTTGTTTGATGTTGTGAACAGGTTGTGTAACTGTAGTCTTTTCTTAACATTGCTTTTGACTTTATAAACTATAGTTTACTTTTTATTGGGACATATTTTAGGACAATGGAAATCGTACAGGATTTGGCAGCCTCCACTTTGAAAGATAATCCATACTTTAGTGCCGGTGCTGGGCTATTTGGAGTTGGGATAGGAATGGCTGCCCTTAGAAGAATGAGTCAAGTTATAAACCTTCTCGTTCGCCGTAATCTCACTTTAACTTTAGAAGTAGCCAGTCATGATAAGGCTTATCCCTGGGTTTTACATTGGATTACGCTGAAATCTAATGGACCGTTAAAGAAAGGTGGAAAAAACAAAATAGGTGGTACAAGTCAACACTTAAGTGTTGAAACTAGTGTAGTACGTACAGAAGGCGGGCGAATCAAAGCTGCATTCGGCTTTGTGCCTAGCGTTGGCGTTCACTATATGGTTCACCAAATGAAATTAATCCGAATTGAACGTGTTCGTGCTCAACAATCCTTACAAGGTGCTACTGTAGCTCCATTCGAAAGTGTAACTCTTACGACGTTCGGTCGCAACGCCAGATTTTTTATTGATTTGCTCGAGGAGGCTAGAGAAGAAGCTCTTGCACGTGAAAAGGGTTGGACCGTTGTTTACAAGGTAATTAAGGCACATATGTACTGACCCTTTTTCGTGTTTAATTTTCACAATTATCATATATTCTGATCTTACTCTAATGTCGAAAAAAATTTATCAAACTAATTGTCGTTACTATTGAAAATCAGTTTTACCATATTACTAACGTGATTATTTTCACAAACGGTTCATTTTTATGTTGAATATTTCCTACAGAAATAGCATCTACAGGACTTAAAAATGCATAACTGCAAATAATTAAATAAACGATATTGTGCAAACTTCCCATGTTGAAAAGTTTAATGTGCGAGTTACACTTGTAATAATATAGCAGTGAAGTGTTTCATCTAAAATATATGTGTTTGACTTTCCATATTACACTACTCCAAAGATATTGGAGTAAGAGATTTCTGGAATTTATATAATTATATTTTCATCCTATTGTGGGACTCGTCAGCAGTGCGCATGCACGATCCCGCTCGCGGGACTGAAACCCAGGGCCTTCAGTCTCGCGCGCGAACGCTTAACCTACTGGACCACTGAGCCGGCATCCAATGGTGTTAATGTCTAACCTCAACCAATCCACGAAATTGCGCGACCATCTTCCATTGTACTGAGGTAGATACCTATCTCTACCCGACACGGATGAGCTCCACATCAGTCGGTTCATGATCTCAATCAAAAACTTAATAATCTCCACAACCCCTATACTAATAATTATCATGTGCTTACTAGTGACTAGCTTCGTGAGGGAATTCTTAGAGTTCTAGTGAGAAGCCGTGACCAGTGGAGCTAATTAGTGTCGGGTAGAGACAGGTATCTACCTCAGTACAATGGAAGATAGTCGTGCAATTTCGTGGATTGGTTGAGGTTAGACATTAACACCATTGGATGCCGACTCAGTGGTCCAGTAGGTTAAGCGTTTGCGCGCGAGACTGGAGGCCCTGGGTTCGAATCCCGCGAGCGGGATCGTGGACGCGCACTGCTGAGGAGTCCCAAAATGGGACGAAACGACCTTTCCAGCGCTTCCAGGTTTTCAATGGTGGTTTAACATCAATCGGTTCATGATCTCAATAAAAAAATTATAGTTTGTTTGATTATTTTACATATTCTGAAGAATATCTGTTTAAGTAGTTGTTTAGTAGAATTGATATTGTTTCTCTAAATCCATTTTCCGTTCATAAATTATCGTTGTCATTTACTACTCAGAAATGATAATCATACGGTTTTTTAGGTTAACTTGTGATCTGACAATTTGAATGCATAAAAAAGTGAATCATAAACGGACGTTTTCGTTTAGGACGATTCTTAATATATTAGTCTCATAGCTGTACACTTATTTGATTGCAAGAAAATAATTCAGGCTTCCTCTGTGATTTTTTTCTAAGCAGTCAACACACAAAAGATTTTCATTATGTAATTGTCTAGATGCTAGAAGTTTCCTACTCAATTCTTACGGAAACACTTGTGGTCTTATGATATAATTTACCTAGGCTATGTATAGATTGTCTTCTAATTTCCGTCGGCCATATCGGGTCATATAAGAACATAATAAGTGTAATAATCGTACGAAGTCATTTTTGGTTTTAGTTTTTTCCAGTACAATGAATGTATCTACCTCAAAGAACAGAGACGTACTTAGGATTACTTATTGGTAATGAGCAGATAATTGATTCCACTTAATTATTGCTTCAATTTAATTTTTAGTTATACTTGTTGGATGCAAGAATTATGTGTATAATTTTAGTTATTTGCTATTTATACGGTGTAGGCTGTTGGTTCAGAATGGCGCCAGTTTGGTTATCCTCGTCCACGTCGACCTTTAAATTCTGTCATACTGCGTGATGGTATAGCTGAAACTATTGTAGCTGATGTCAAAGAGTTTGTTGGTAGGTAAGCTTTTCAAAAGCAAGTTGTTATATTTTATTTTAGTCATTATTTATCCCTTGTAGTTGATGCGGCTATCGATGAGAATAATAAATAGTGAATGATATATTAGTTAAACAATAATCCAGGAAAATTTTTGTTTCAGATCTCCCTCATAATAGAACGGGGAAAATTACTGATAAGTAATAAATCTAACTATTTATCCACACCTTATATGTTTTGTATTAGATTCGATTTGCTAAATACTGATCAATATCCCATTTTTACAATAAAATGTTACTTTCTCACCGTGTATGTCCCGTGAACTTATGGTAAATTTTGATCAGTATGTGAATTCTTGTTATGTTTCAATTGGTTTCGAATCAGTTTTCACCATGATTGTTCTAATATAGGTGTTTATATTACTGATGAAGCTCTTAGTGCATATAAGATCAGTATGAATAATTTCAAGTTGTTTCATTTGTCATTGTTATTTCGTATTTCGTTGTTTGAAATACAACCTATTGAACTTTATCGATCATTACAAAGAGCGTAGATTCTCATAAGAGACACTCCTCGTTTTAGACCTGTATTAATTATGTGAATCGTATAACACTACCGTCAATCCTTTGTCACAATAGCTTGATAGAATGATAATTATTCCCTGAGTTGATCTGGGAATAATAACATTTCTTGACGTTTGTCAGATACTTTCGCTGACGTCAATTGTAGAAATGTAATTAAATCATTCTCAAGTTTTATCAAGCATCTAAATGAAAGCACAGTATGTGTAAATAAATCACGTGTTGAAATTCAAGGAACTAACTGACAGCGTTTATTCCAGATGTTTAAAAATCAACCGTAGTTCGGTATTGAAATTAAGTCATGATAGTCCTTTCTTAAAAAATTTCCTTGTTATGAAATAAGTGTAGCGATTACTAAGCAATCTCTCACTACCGTATTCTTTTGGACACCAATTTTCCGTTTTTTCTTTCTATTGTCATTTAGACAACCAGGCCTGGTACACTGATCGTGGTATACCATATCATCGTGGTTATTTATTATATGGACCACCAGGATGTGGCAAAACTAGTTTCATAACAGCTTTGGCAGGTAACATATATACTACTTACCAGCTCGTAGTTTTTATGATCATTATGTGACAATATCAGGAGGGTGTGGTTTTAAAAAATTCAAATAGCAGATTTATAATCATGTAAGCATTTCAGCGGAAAGTATGAATCTGACTAATTGTAAAATATATCAACAGAACGGTTCTTCACCTAGAATTAGTATGTAATATGTTGACATTGTTACGAATGTTAGAACAGTCATTTGCCACACTTTTTCGTTCAATTACAATGGAATAAATCGTTTCCCAGATGAACCTTTTTAAAGATATGTATTCATATTTTGTGTTTCACCTTTTCATTCTCTGTTCGATTTGCACTGAAATTTGTTGTTTATTTAATATTTCAATAAAAATAATGGTCATTTGTCAAGATAAATTTTAATGCTTAACCCTGAATAAATAGAACTATAACGCGTCGTACAAGCGATTCGTATTCATAAATTTAAACAATTCAAGACCGAAAATATTTACAGAATGCAGTGAGTTCACCACATTTCATTACTTCCTTTTCAGCTACATACGAACCAATAATTTTAGTTGGTTCCAACTTTGATATATTTACTTTATAAATAGAGTGACATCAATACACAAGCTCACATACTGAAAACGTATTTCAAATCTAAATATGCAAATGTTTATTTTTTTCATCAAAGTAGTTGATCCAAATAATAAACTGAATTTGCTATGTGAATGATTGTGGATTTTCTATTAAGCTTAGATTAACTTCTTACCAAAAGAGGTACCTAAAAACGGTTTTCAGCATATCATCTCTCACCTTCTTTAACATCTTAGTATAATTCCATTATTTGTTAATCTTAAAAGATCCATTTATATGTAGACAATTTTACCGTTATTGGATTATCATTTTCGTAATATCAGAAACAAATGTCCGTTGGTTAAGTTGTCACAGCTCACGTCATCGCAGCGTGTGCAAGGATCTATGATTATCAAATTGACTCATATTTTCAAAGATGATATTTCTTTTTTGAGGTTGATTATTACCAAGTATTTTTTATTAGAGTCCCTTGAAATTATATGAATTAGGGGTCTCATTTTGTTTTTACTGTAGCTTGTATAAGTTGTAACAATTTGTTTGTTAAACCTAATGAATATAACAATGAATGACTTAATCAATTTCTGAAATTATTTTCTAGGCCATTTAGATTATAGCATTAGCATATTAAATTTAAGCGAATTCGGCATGACGGCAGATCGATTAGATCATTTATTAACGCATGCACCGCTTCAAACTATCATCTTACTTGAGGATATTGACGCAGCAGTGCATAGTCGTAACACATCAAATAATGATCTACTTCATAGCAAAGGTTGGTTTCGTTTAGTTTTTATCGTTTAATTAATGTCATTTAGCTTATGAAGGTATGCCAACACTCACTTTAAGTGGATTGTTAAATGCACTAGATGGTGTAACCTCGACGGATGGTCGCATCATATTCATGACTACAAACTATATCGATCGGTGAGTATCTGAATTATTGCATACAAACTTTTTTCCCATATTAACTCTCATTTCCCAGGTGCAGGTTTGTGTAATTTTATTTAGATCATATTATCCAGTAATTCAAACCGAAGTAGACGGAGTGGCGTTCTAGCCTGCTTCTTGGTAGATAAAAGTTAAACTCCTCGGCCATAGTCGATACTTTGAACAACTATCAGTAAAGTTGGAGTAATTTCTTCTTCACTACAACTGGTTCATAGTGAAATTATGTATTTTAAATTTCATTTATTCGTAAATAAATTTTTCATATTGGTAATCATTAATGAACAAATTCAAAACAAACTGACACTATAGTAGGTAGAACAGAGGTAATTATCAATCGCTGAATTTAATTTTTTTTTCTGTTATGCTTAGGTGTTATTTATAGTTTATCTATTTATTTAACAACATGAAACTTGGCACAACATAGTACTAAATAATAAAATGTGTCTGGAAGTATAGATAACATTGTAAGAAAAAGGAAGTGCATTTGGATAGAAAGGAGTGATAGTTAATCATTAACATAAACACTGTATCAAGAGGAGAGATATTTACGCATACAAACAATTAAACCCGGAATTATTTCAGCTAAAAAAGTTCCTTTGACATTTATGAAGAATGTTGGCAAAATTAAAGCAGCATTGCCATTTTTTCTGTCCTGAATCAAGTTCGATAACGTTTGAGTTGGATCACCTCTAGGACCTCGAACGGAGCGGTGGTGAACCGGCAGGTGTTACTCCTACACTGCTTAACTCAAATGATGGTGACAACCCGTAAACCTCTCCGCTTTTCCTAATCAGTCCCAGCGTCGGGAATTAATGCAAAATGTGTAAGCCGCTGAGGTGACATGTCCAGCCAACCGAAGCCAATGTTTCAGGGCAGTGAAATCAATTGAGTTATCGTCACTATGTCCAAACAAGCATTATCAAACATAGTGTTGCTATTACCTGTTGTGAAAACCCCTCCGAAACAACAACGACTGAACACAGAGTCGTATGACATCCTCGACTTGCAGATGCCAGGTTTTGAAGCATGGATTAAAACTACTCTCATTTCCATAGTATCCCACACCAAAACTCTGATTCTCCTGAAGAATAGCAATATGGTTTCGTTTCGATTGATGGTAGTCTCAGAACACGCCATACCAGAAGACGTTTACCATGCATTCATTACAAGTCATGGTAACCTGACTTGGTGGTGCTGTGTTCTCTAAGCTGAAATGGCTTAGTTGTAAAACAATACAATTTTAACTTACCTGCAGAGATGCATAAATGAAAAAAAGTTAAGTCATAAAGAGATGTGTTCAATATAGATTTTTTTGGTTGCTTGTGTATCCGAAGGGTGTACATAAGTATAGTCGTTGAGGATTTTTATAAACACTTTATTTCGAACAATATAGTCCAATATTGTTTACTTCAAAATATCATACAACTAAACAAAGTCAGCGTTATATGCATTACTTTTTAGATTCGTCTGTCGCTTAACCAGGAAGCTTCACACAAATGAAATAAGAGCTTGGCTTCAGCGATAAAAATTTTTTTACAATAAGTGTGACTTGGGTGTTTTTTGAATGATCTCACAAATAGCTTGTCATGTAAACAAGCCAAACTGGGGGGTTCTCGTGACATTTGCACTAATGCTTGCTTAAGTCATCACCTAGTACTTTACGGATGATCAGCAACGGCAGTCTATTTACGCATAAATTTACTAGCAACGTAATAACTGTATTACTTGGTCGGATTCGATAATACACTCTTGTTACTGGTCTTTATTTCGTTATTATTATTGCTGATGTAATAACTCCACCTGCAGCTTTGTAGAATACTTGTAGTTAATTTGTTGATTCACCGTTTTTTTTTTACTGACAGACTTGATCCTGCTCTAATACGACCCGGTCGCGTTGATATGCGTGTACGAGTTGACGTTTGCGATTCGTCTCAACTAATGCGCATGTTTAGTCGATTTTACCCACAGTGGACGTCGTCTGACATTAATAAATTAGCTCAAAAGTTTGCAAGTCTATTAAAGGATACACCTTTGAGTTCAGCACAAGTTCAAGGTTATTTGCTGTTGCATAAAGATGACCCTTTAAAAGCAATCAGTAATATAAATCAACTGTTGTCTCCATATGATTCATAAATTTTTAATCCTATACCCAGTGATACGCTTAAAATGTAACGTAATTTAGATTCTCAGGATGGTTTAGATTATTGTTGATTAATCCCATTCAAATTGTTTGTTGTTTATAATCTTGTGTACATAATCTATGTTTTTAATCAAATAAAGAAATTCGTATGAAAAGGTTAGTTAAAATGTCCAAATTTCTACTTGAAATGTGAATTATTATCCAAAAGTTTTCAGTAAACTAGTTATCTGAATATACGGATGAAATCTATCTGTCATAAATTGTGATTGGGGATATATTGATTTCAAAATTCCTCTAATTCGAACTCGATGGACCGGTAGCTGACACGAAACACTCCGACTATAATTCCCAACGTAGTAGACGGAGAAGTTAGTAGAAACAGGAAATTCAAGGGGATAGATTTCAAATGAAACGACCCAGTATAATAGCATCAAAACATGATTTTGGGACACAAATTAGGAAACTAAAAATGAGAATAGCTAAACAGATAACAGCGAATTTCATTGCGGAAAAATGAATTCGCAGTTAATGTTACATTTAAAAACCGACATTTGAAAAGAGCTAAAATCTCCTTAGCAGTGCACAATCATACCCAGTAGTTGGTTCACACGAATTAAATCGCATAATAGTGTGAGTTTTATCCCGACTGTTTTTTTCTACCTTGATGTGGTGGTCGGGCTTGCCTATCGTAATGAACGAATCGAGCTATACTGGCTGGAACAATCGTTCCTCAAGGCCCTACCATGCCAGATAGGTAAGTTGAAGAACGGTAAGATTACAAGCAGCAGACCCAAAGGCGATGCCGTACTGCTGACTGTACAGAGGCGGGGCAGCATTAAGGTGTTTCCTTCAGACAGCCAACATAACTGCAGTGCTGCCTTCCCACAAAGAAGAGTGGGGTTAGAGAAGCTCGACCCTAAAAATACCTCGCCTTATCCCACGAATATCCGTCTCCGGTGGTAAGGTCCCAACACGTACGCAGCCAACATGGAAACTCATAAAAGGTCATGTATGACCGGCCTCAAGCGGTTGCCCCTTGGGCTTCGCAGTCACGCTCTCAGGTCACTAAGACCTCTAATCCAATATCATTTTCAGATACCTCCAAAAGAACCCTTCCACTTTGTGTGCGACCGGGCAGTGATAACGGCCCTCATACATCTAAAAGCACTCAAGACCACTTTATTAATTATCAACCTTCCTCTTCACCTATTATTCCTCATACATCGATCTTCAACACTAAACTTCCTCTTTCGGTTTCCTCCTTAAGTGTCACCATAGCCAATGATTATATTGCGCAAAACACTGTACCAAGTCTAACTTTGTCAAAGAAATGCTTTCAGATACAACGCTTTCATCATTTGATTTTTCAGGGATTGCTATTATACCAGGATATTGTCTTTTTGAATTGGTCCTGTTTTATGAAGACGACAAAATACAGTCATCTGACCACCTTAAGCAACAATGCAAAGTTTTTTGGGATACTCTTCTCTTCCTCTTAATGCGGGATGTCACTTCAGGATTGGTTTGCATCAGCGCCAAAATTTACGCTAGGAAGTGAAGTATTTGCACGTACTGACCGCCATACCTGTTTCGGCAGTCGCATCAGTCTCGATGACATTTAGTCACAGATGTAGAAGGTCTGCACTTAAAATGCTTATCGGCGTCCGATAATGATGGTTTTTCTTGACTTGAAAGCAGCATTTGACTCGGTAGACCGCGAGATTCTGTGGCAGTGTCCGTCATTGAAAGGTGTACCTCAGAAGTACATAAACCTTGTGAAGGCTCTTTGCTCGAGAGAGCTTATGGAGAACTGTCATCTGATTTCGCAACCTCAAGTGGTGTCCGTCAAGGCTTCACCATAGACCTACTGATGGAAATAACATTCTTGTCGACTGAATTCTCGGGTATTGATCTCGTTCCAGGAGGCACACTTATCGACCTAGAATACGCAGATGATATAGTCCTGTTTGGTGAAGACACTGATAAAATGCAGTCTTCTGGTAACACTGAGCAACAATGCCTGGATGTTTGATGTGCGTTTCTCCCCTCTAAATGCAAGTTGTTGCTTCAGGACTGGTCTGCGTCAACAACTGGACTAAGGATAGGGAGTGAAGTAGTCGGACGCGTTGACAAATTCACTTATCTTGGAGGCTTGGTTAGCCCTAATGGGTTGGTGTCTGACGAAATTTCTGCACGGATTTGGAAAGTCCGTTTGGCCTTTACCATCTTACGTCACCTATGACGAAGGCGAGATATCCGTCTCACAATTAAGGGACAAGTATACTGCGCGGCAGTTCGTTCTATTCTACTTTACGGCTGCAAAACATGGCCACTAAGAGCAGAAGATATTCGTAAGCTACAGGTATTTGATTACAGATGCCTCAGAAATATTACTTGCGTCTGTTGGGATCACTGGGTAAGTAATAGTCAGATTAGACGCAGGGTTTTAGGGAATGGTGGTAAATCAGTTGATGAGGTTATGAATCTTCATCGACTGAGATGGTTGGGTGACGTATTGCACATGTTCAACCACCAATTACCACGGCGCACAATGCTGACTAATGTTGGAGACGGCTAGAAGAAAGTTAGGGGCAGCCAAACCAAAACGTGGCATCAGAGCTTGAAGTCACCAACTCCTTGTCTTAGCCATGTTGGTAGATGCAGACTACTTGGTTGGGGTCCGCGTGACTATCGTAACGAATGTTTGGAGGCTCTGGGTGACATGGTTCAGGATCGATCACAATGGCGTAGGTGTATACACTCTGTCTTCCCTTAAACCATAAGATTAAAATTATTCCATACCTTTCTACGTACGAAATATTTTTTACTACGTGGAGCGATGGATATATGTGCCTGGTTCTACTTTGTAGCTGACTGACAGGGAGGGTTTTATGAGTTATATCTATTCATTTCGTAATAAACGGATGATTACTTAATTCTACATTCACTAATATTTCCCAGTAACCAATTGTATCGCAGTATCAGACGAAACGTAAAATTACTTCTTCATTAGTATTATCAACATCTTGGAAACATCGGAACCGTGTAACGAGATTGTAAGAAGCATAATAATACCGTTTAGATTTCGAAATTCCTGTAGCACAAATTATTAATACACGTGTCTTCCATGTTAAATAGTCATTTAAGTCACATGGATGCTGGGAATCCATCTGTACTAACATGCACATTCATCATATATGTATGCTTATGCAATTGAAAAACCAGGTAATGCAGTTGTAAAAAACTTATACTAGTAAGTTTATTCTACTATACAGATTGTATCTTTTTGTTCTAAAAATAAAAATGACCAAGTTATGGGCTTTCGAGTGTTGTTGTTTCTGAATTATAGGTCTCGAAGTCCCAATCAACTGAACTTTTTTCATTTATTGTTACATAACACTGAATTATATCTCCTACTTTCCATTGTGAAATGAAATTCTTTGCGGATAAATTTTGATTCTCGCTATGAATATCCTGAACTTCAGGAGAAACTAATACAATACCACAATCTACTCCTTTTCGAATACTTTCAACAACAGATTTTTCATGACGCAATGAGTAACAGATAGCTCGATCCACTATGGTATTTTTAGAATCAGAAAAGTTTTTTTGAGCGGTGGTTGGATTTTCTCCATGTTTATTGTTTGGTGATGTTGAATGGTGAGCTGGACGGACAATGCGGTAACATAATTCAGTTGGTTCACCATCAACACCTAAAATGATAATAGAAGACAAAATAAAAACTGTTGTACGAATAACATTTAATGCCCTTATCATAGTCTCAGTTAATGCATCGGATAGAAGTAATATGTAATATATCGAAATATCGAGCTTAATGTAATATCACACAATACTGAGCAAAATTGGCAAAGCTTAATATCTGATGCATAATGAAAAAATTCTTTGAGTAACAATCTATTGTTTAGATAGGTGGTTTATTTACGTGTAAGGTATTCTAGTACTCTCGTAAAGATGAAAATGACCAACGATACTCAGTGTATTTGCGAACTACGAAATAATTCTTAATAGGAAAACCGGGAAGCTAGGTTTTTAACAACAAAGCAGTTCAATGTTGCTTCAGTGGACTTACCACTACTTGGCTATTCATTTCACTGAAGTAGCAGTTAGCAATATTACGTAATAATTGACATACGCATAGCAAACTTTACAAGCCCAGCTTTCGCTGATTAAAACGTAATTAGAAATCTAGATTTAAAACCACTACTGCATTGAATAGATTTTACATCGAGCAGGGTAAAGAATCTGCCTACGGGAAATTATTTTGTTAAATTATACCACGATTTTTTAAACTTGATACTTGAAATGTATTTAAACAAAAGAAATTGGTCCATATTCACGAAAAAAATATCTTGATTGTGTTATGCTACAAGTTATTAGAAATGATCATTAGAATTAGCCTTCTAAATCGTTGACCAGAATAGCTTAATGAATGGATAGCTCTTAACTAATTATTGGCAAAAAAGAATATGAATGCTTAATTATTTTTGTATTCCATAACTACACCTGTGTAAGTGCTTTATGCAAATAGTTCCTTTTGTACGGTCGAGAGTGGGGAGAGTCAGCTCTCCCTCTCAAATGGCCACATACAACCTGCTCACTGCCTTCTCGTGGCCGGGGTGTTGCTTACGAAATTGAGAGGACGAAAAGCGAATGTCCGGCGACTTAACCAGGTTGGTGGACACGGAGGGTTCACTTAGAACAGTCGGAAAACCTTGATTCCAAACCAATGGTGCACATGGGCTCCAGTATCCTGAAGGAACAAATGGCGTATGAACCAATTGTTGGTCACCGGCTACCATAGGACTGCATCCTAATATCGCTCAACTACCTTGTGGACTAGATCATTAGGTGTGGCCTTCCAAGAAAACCACCTGCTTCGGCTTGGGTACCCGGGCAGTATCCCAGCTCTCACACAAATCGGATGATTTATGTGACACATATCTATTTGGTGCCTCCTTGTATCAATGTTTATGTGTTTAAATAATTTTTTGTATTTAGACAACCTTTATAAAGTAAGTTCTGAATATCTAGCACTTTTCTGTCATTGATATACAAAGGAATTCACTTGAAATCGAATTCCAGCTCTCATATTGTTGTATTTGAGTAGATTAATAACAAACTATTTTGCTGAACAATGCTTATAATCTAATCTTATTTTATAACACTAAGTGAAAACTGTTGTTAGGTTCGTATTCGTGTAGAATTTGGGAATATCTGTGGTATGTAGTATGAAATCACCAAGTTAATTTAATTTCAGCAAATGAAATATCACATTAAAGCAGTCGTTTTGAAAGGTCGATAATAAAACAAATACGATCTTTATAACAATTGAAATGTTGGTAAACACTGGTCAATATTGGAGGTGAAGTATGCTGAGTCCTTTAATTCCAAAACGAAGTATCGAACAATTTCGAAAATACATACAGATATTTACGGAATAAATTATGTGGAACGATAAGTTTGGGGTTTACCAATCTAAGACAAGTAACATGAGTACTCGTAACATAAAAAAACTGACAGGAAGTAAACGTAAAATACATTAAACGTATATAACCTCACCTAGATCTGTGAGAATGGAGCCTATTTTAGTAATATTAGCGATAATATTTCCTTTAATACATCTACATCCAGCAACTGGTAAAAGTCCAGTCTTCACGACGCTTTTAGATGCTTTAATCGTAAACAGCTGGAGAATTTCTGCTTCACCTGAAACAAATGAAAAATTGTTAAGCAAGCTGATATACATGATTTGAAAGAAAAAGATCATAATAGGAAAATTTATGGATGAATGCGTGTCCATTTAAGATTGTTAATAATGAAACTGTTAATCTGTGAGTGGTGATATTACATAAACCTTAAAGATGGTAACATAAGTTCGAAAATACAAAATCGGATTATTGTAGACTTTTCATTGAGTATAAAGTAGACGTTGTAGAGAAAAGAGTTTGCTAAAAGAAGGAGAAAACTGATTATAAACCGTGGGAAAATCAACAAACTACGTAATAATATGTTCACTCAATTTTTTGTTCTTTGTAGCCACAGGTTTTTGTTAATTTAGGTCTCTTTATTCATTGCCTTATAAGAAACAGAAATCTATGGAGTCGTTGAATGTCGTCACTAAAGAATAAGTTTACTGAACTTTCTATACGAGCGACAGTTGTTTACTCAGACTCAGAGCGTAACGTGCTTCCATACATCTACGGCCCTGGTATGGCTGAGAGTGGGGTGGGCCCTCCCTCTCGAAATGCTCTCACACGGTCACGCGTATATAGCCTCTGTCAGGAAAGTCCTATTCACTGCCTTCTCTTTTGGCGCGGGTGTTGTTTACGAAAATGAGAGGACGAAAAGCGAGTCTCCGGCGCTTTACGCGGTTCCCAAACCAATGGTACACATGGCTCCAGTATCCTGAAGGAACAAATGGCGTATGAACCAATTGTTGGTCACCGGCTTCCATGGGACTGCATCTCCTTACGATGCTCCACTACCTTGTGGATCAGACCTTCAGGTCGAAGGCTCGAGGAGTGGCCTCCTAAGAAAACCACCTGCTTCTGTTTGGGCACCCGGGCAGTATCACAGCCCTCACATAAATCATTCGATTTATGTGGCGCCCTCTTGTACCAATATTTGTGTGCTGAAATAATAATGGATGATGTTACAAAAAGTGACTGATGATTTGACAGTTGTACTCAAAGAATCATCTCTGACCAATCTAGTCACTTAAGTTGATGTAGATTAAGCATCATAAAATAAATTGCATTATTCTATAATAGGTGTCTCATTAACGTTACACAGTGAACAATTACTGAATTAAACCAAATATTCCCCGCTGAATATTAGTGTGGGATCTATAATTATGGTCGAAAAGTGAGCATACACTAGCATGGGATATGTTATTAAAATATCAGCACATAAATGATATCAGTTCTACGGTGATCAGAGAAAATGCATCGTAATTAATAAAAGCAAGTTACGAGTTCTCCTAGAATATATATTGATGTATATTAAGAAACCATTTATTGGTGAACAGTCCTGGTAGTTTGACGCTAATGAGAGAGGAATTATAATATCTGGTTAGTATTTCCATGTTTCAGTATATGAGTTTTCCAGTGTGACGTGTGTTTTTCATAAATAATATCTGCATCCTATACTTAAGCGGCTTTGTATATATTAGGATTTAGCAAAACATACAGGAATACGGTAGTGTCCTTGATGTCTAATTTTAAGATAAACCAACCTACATTTATTCAAATTCGGGAAAAATAACTTCAGAAAATGTAGAAACTAACCAATTATCTTCTCCACTGATACTGGTGGGAGCTTTTCATTCAATAGTTCCCTAACTTCTTCAGCCAATCGATAAATAATATTGAATTCTTTAATTTTAACACAATTATGTTCAGCTGTAATTGTTGCTTCTGGAAGAGCATGAATGTTGAATAGTAGTACATTTGCTAAAATTGAAAAATTCATGCACTATTAAGTTTAAATTTTAACTGTAGGTATCTGAATTATATCTTCAAAGTTATGATACTAGTTTGTGCAAGCTAGGTTGTTGGTTTACATGGTTATAATGATTTTACTAGTTAGAAATCCATACAGGTAGATATTTTCTGAATAGTTTGTACATGACATGCTGGAAATTGATTTTGCGTCACAATCCTTGTGATTAAGGATGTCGCGCTCATTTTTATAAGCAATCTTTATCCCATCGAGTGTAATCTAATAGTCTTATGTATAATGTATAGAAAACAAGAATAAAGAACCAGATGAATTAAACGTTATGAATTGACTTGAACGTTGTATCCTCTAGTTAAACAGATCATATGACAGTACCTATCCAACAGGAACATTTAAATATATAAGTTTGTCTGAGTTTCTATTCGACGTGAAGATGGAAAGATTTTATACAACAGAAGAATTAGTACTATGTGTGACAAAAACACAGGACAATTCAAATAGTGTACAAATAATGTAACCACAAATATTCACATTTAAAATATTGTTAAGTGGGATAACAATTTATAGGGGTAACCAGCATAGATATTTTTAATGTTTACAATATTTCTACATTTTATTAACTGCAAGTATTTATTCGACTCATTATCTGTTGCTATATCGTTTATCCACAACTTAGATTTATATCGCAAATATTCCAGATGCAGATACATTGGATGTATTATTTATATTGTTTTGTGATTTTACGTAAGTAACCAAATTTGAATTATACAAAGTACTTGTCAATCTCTTTGGTGTTCTATTTAATAATTTTAAAAATAGGTATTTCCTAAGGGAAATTAAACGTCGACATATATAGTACATGTAATGAAGTTTCTGTTGTTTAAGTAGATGAAACTATGACAAGCATGAATATAAAAACTACCTTTTTGTTTATAGTGTCCAATCTTAATTATATTAGTAATTTAGATTAAAATGGTAAGAAGCACAGAAAGGAAGGCACATATCTGATCAATACGATTTCATTATTTGCAAAATTTGGTCGCACCCATGTAGAAGATACTACCTCCCAAGAAAATTGGGCTTCCAATCAAAACTTGTGACGGTTGATCATGTGAATTAAACAAGGGAACTACTGTTTTTACCTATTGACGAATATTATTTCTAGACTTTTTACTTCTGAGTAGTGATTTTACGGGTTTAAAAATAGCGGAAATCACATTAAAGGGGATTCAAGTTTCATTTATTAGCTTTTGCCTGTAAACATATGTGATATAAATAACAACACTGTTCCGCAAAGCTGTCAATAAACTCGAATGTGATCTTTATGTGGATAGTGGCTTCAATAAAATATTCAGGTAGACAAGTGAATATTAACAATTATCTAAAGAGCTAGATTTTTAGAAGCACTGCACAACTTTATGCTCGCATCGAGCAATTTTCATTTTTTTATAGTGATTACTTAAGACAGTAACGTCTCCGAAACGCTCGTTATTTCCAAGCTCATGTGGATATAGAAGTTTTAGCATAAGCACTATATAAATACACACAACTGATAGATAATCACATCAATTATATAATGACAGTGGTATGTTATGATTAGGGTCATTCATATTTTTTATAAATATAAATTCTGAATACATGATAAACTGGTTTTTTAGAATCAACCTTTAAAAAACACAAATCAACAAAATGTTGTCCATGATGAAAAAATCAAAGCAATCTAATAGAATAATACCAACCTTTAACTGCAGCGGCCGCGTCTACTTCAAATTCAGTCAACGGACCAACACCGGTAATGCAGTATTCTATTTTACATTGATCTGATGAATAGGTAGAAAGGAGTGTTTTTATCGCCTCTAAACTACCCTGTACATCACATTTGATTACAAGTGGTAAGGAAATTCTATTAGAATTTTCCTTCCATAAGCTAGATTCAGCTGAATCACGTTCTAACTAAATAAAATTTCAAAAAAAATTAAATAATGTGAAGTACACTGATGATTGAGATGAAAGTTAAGCGGATTTCTTCGACTACGTTATCCTTATTAATTTGTATTCTATTACGAATTTCAAGAATAATCAACTTACTAAATGAAAGAACTAGGTGGTCAAATATAGATTCATGAAGTCAGCTCTAAGCCACAATTTGGATATGATAGTCTGGTTATATACATCCAAGCCGAAGAAGCGACCAGATCGATCACCGAAATCAAAGTACTATAACAAATAAACCACCGGACTACAAGATATAAGACTAAAAGGAAGGACACCAGATCAATTTAACGTTTATTAGTTTTATAAAGTCTGAGCTGTCAATGCGTGATCAGACTGTTCGAAATGCATTACAGTAATGTATCACATAACTCTGATAATCTTTGCATTATTCAAATGTTTCTTAAGAATTACTTAACTTATTAAAACTGATGCTTCAGTTTGTGAGAGTAGAAATATAATGAGAATACAGCTGCATTTATATTCAGACACTCGAATATGATTTCCGAAATTGTACCTTGTAATACACCTTGAATGTACAGTATTGTGGGTTTAGAAATTGTTTCAACAAGCCTAAATGTACAATATATTTCGATAACTTGATACTGATGAGTTTTTAACGCATTTTTGTTTGCCAATAACTGTCACTTTTTAAAATGTAAATTGAATCTTCGATGAATTATTAAGAGAACTTGACATTAATGGAAAAACAATCCTATTCATTAGTCATACCAAAAGTGGTGAGCCATGAATAATCTGGTTTTATATTATGAATATAGTTTAGAATAAACAATTAGTTAATTGGTAAGATAACGATTGTTGTATTTCGAGAACAGACAGTTTAATAAATCATGTTTCCAAACATAATTTCCTGAAATTATTACAATGATTGATTCGTCATTTTTATATGATAAATAATAATTTTTTTAACATTAGGAATTGGCATCTTTTCACAAATACCAATCAAGATCATGAAAAGCCGGGATTGTGCTAATTGTTTAGAGTAGGAAACGATTATTCAAACAAATTTCAGCTCCAAGTAATTAATTAGGATGCTATTGCCCAATAAATCATACAAAGAAATTGATGATTGGCTCGAATAGTGTATCATAACAATACAGTCCGATGTAAAGTTAGTGTTATTTAATATTTGTAATACCTGGAATGAGATTGCATAAGGAGTTCTTATTGTTGTACAGCAATTGATGGACTGTACATATTTCTTTAAACTAAAGGATATACACAATTAAGTTTATACTCATTTAAGAACAGTATTCAGTGAAAACTACTTAAACAATATAGGGTTGTGGAGCTAAACCTTGTCAAGTGTCAGGAAGGTACCACCGAAGTTGGCCACGCACTATTGTGGACTGATTGAAGTTAGACTTGTATACCGATGGATCCAGGTTCAGCGGTCTAGAGGTTAAGCGTTCACGCGCGAGACCAAAGATTCGATTTCCGCTTGCGGGATCGTGTATGAACTCTGCTCAGAAGTCCCATACTAGAACGGAACGCCTGTCCAGTACCTCCAGGTTTTCAATGGTTGTCGAGTTTTGAACGGTTCGTGACTTTAATGAAACTAAACAGACAATCGATCACAGAATGGTTAAATTGATAAAAGTTTTGTATTAAGGAAGAAAATTAAGGTAGTCACATGAGCAGACCTAGTAATTAATCTACACTGAGACAAAATAAAGATTTGACAACTAAGGTGAATTTATGACCTGAACTTGTATACCTTTAGCTTTGAATTAATATTAAGCATAATAAATAACATCCAAATAACTTGAATAATTGTCAAGTTCAAAGTTTTTGTATGTACGTATTAGGAAAAATACCTAATTCGTGTTTGTGGTGTAAAATATTCCGATTGAAATATATTGTTCTGCATGATAATGCTTAGAGAAACCGAAACATTTTGTAGGGACGAAGAGATTTCAGTTATATCAGTATTTTAATTTGTGGTAAGTTGGAATTGATAGACTGTACACGAATAGACGATAGACATACTTTAAGTTTTCGCCACTGACGTAGATGAAGGCTCGAACGTTTTTCTGCGTATTTCTCGCGATGTTCTCGATGATGAGACGCTCGAAGATCATATGCATCACGGTCTTCTTTAACTTTGTCCTGTACCTTTAAACACCGCCGATATCGTTGAACTTCATTTGCTCGCTTCTAAAGTGATTCGTGAAAACGAAAAAGACAACAAAACTGACAGTCTAATTATTCAACAAAAAATTTCAGATAATGTATACGAAATGTATTACAAGTTATTCATATGAAAACATGAAAAGTGTCTTATAGGGATTTGTATAGACTAGTGTTAAATCATTGAAATACACATACTGGACAAAAAGTCGATACGTTCGATAATTGTGAGGAATTACTAAATTCCAAATAAAGAATCGCATTAAAATGAAATGTATTCAAAAAACCAATAATTTATGGGCGCGTTATCATAATAATTACTACATTTTGGATGTTTTGATCGTCGGAAATTGGGAAATACAGATGTTTATAGTAATACAATAAATTCAAATGGATTATATGCTATGTACTTTTTATGGTACTAAATAATGGCATTACATGAATATTATTTCAAGACATTTTACACTGAACGACATGTAAAGTTCTAATTTTAATGCATATTCAATAATCTGCGGATGTTATATTGTATATTATGTATTATGTCGATAGGTCAGGCAATTTGCATATAGCAGAAAAATAAGTAGGATGAAGATATATCCATGTAATCAACCGTTTAGCTTTTTCTTCAGCGAGGGGAATGTCAGTGATCCCAACAAGTCGGTATCTTGAGCAAACATCAGTCATGAATATGGCATCAATTAATTAGTTTCCGTTCAGCTATTTAACAATCAAGATAACTGATCGAAACCGTGATTAGTATTCAGAAGTCGATTGGAAACATGTTTGCGATGAACAGTTCTGATAATGATATCAGTTTGCAACAAAAATCATCTTCAACTTGAATGAATCTCCATAATCCCATTCAATGGAAATATGTAATGACTTACAAGTCATATAAAAAAACAAGAAGTACAAGACTTACCGTAGATTCTACCTCTAGGATAAGATCTCCCGCAGAGGGGAGATCTTTCCAACCCGCTACCCGCGCTACAAATCCGGGTTTAACTGAATCCACGAGTTTTCCTGCATCGTTTAGCAAGATTCGTGGGGTACAGATTGCTTCACCAGCTATAATTGGACCACTATTGGGTGATTTACGCAAAACACCTCGAGTAATAAGACAGGTAGCCGTTTTGCTATAAGAGAAGAGTATTAAGTATCTGTTGTTTAGAAAGAACCCAATAATAGTTAAGCAAAAATCAAATAAATCAAAAAACTTCGTTCCTTTAGATTGTGAGTGAAATCCGAAGAAAAAAAACGACACGTCACGTTACAGGAAGGAGGAAATTGGAAAAATGTTAGACTATGATTGAAAACACCTATGCATCTAACAAAGGTACATAAGATAAAATGGTTTTGTGTTAATTTTTCACATAGTTTGAAGATGATTTTCACCTAGAACTGATATAATTTAAAGTATCAATGAAAATCAGGGAGCATTAGACAGCTGTTTCCTTTCAGTTTGAGATAATTCAACAGTGGACAGGCACAAGTCTACACAAAATCGATCCCATAAACGTCAAGATTCATGACAGTTCATAAAGTACAAACTAATATCTACACTAGTCATATATATCACTTGTCTTCAGCACAATTCCAAATACAAGTATGTAATACGTATTACAATCCCTGTAATAGATAAGCCTATGACATTTGCTTTTGAACTCAATTAAGTGACACGTTTATAAGTGTTGAATATGGACAAGCATCATATTGAGGAAATGATTTTAAGAGAAAATAGCATGTTCTGAATGTTTTTTAAAAAAATTGCAATACATTAGACAATAATCGATCTTAAACACATAAACACGTGTACAAATACGAAAATTAATTTACTAATAATTACCCAATCCCATGAAGTGTTTCCGATTCTAAAACAATACCTTCAGTCAATCCGGTATGATCTGCTTTCAACTGCATTATTTCAGCTTGCAGAATAATAGCATCTAATAATTCAGAAAGATTTATTCGTTTTAATGCTGATATTGGAACTGCTTGTATATCTCCACCTAACTGTTCAGTTAAAACTTCATAAGTAGCTAGACCTTGGACTACTTTATCCTAATATATAAAAAAAATTGAAATTAGTATCTTTTGGCTGGCATATCATTCGATGATTATGTAAATATTAGCATAAAGTCTAATTATACATTTTACAGTTTAACTTTTATTTATCAACAATATATAAAGCACATACAAACTAAAGAAACTCTAGTTAGAGGTCAATCAAACAAGACATTCGACTTAAATACACAAATATATGAAGACAACGAAATCTGTAAATATCACCAACTACATCATTGGTTTCGTAATAACAAGAAGCTTACTTCTACACGAAGAAGACGTTGATGATGTCCAAAACAACAATAAAAGTTCGATAATAAATTATCTAGCTCAGAGAAGTGAACAACATTAAGCATCCATGAGAACTACAAATTGAATCTATCACAAGTTACGTTAGGTTTGATTTAAAACTAGATGATATCAAGTTTAACACCAGTAACGTGTATATATATCGCTTGATCTTGCAGATTGTCATTTACATATTATTGTACTCTTATTTACAGAAAAAAACAATACTTGCAAAACACAGCATAACACAGTATCTAATCTAATATCTAAATCCAAACGCCAAAAGAATTACTTAATACACATTTAGGTCCTAGCATAACACAGGTAAAACATACAAATAAATATATTCTTCTGATCCAGACATGGTTAAATCTACTATACTAAAAGAAACGACTTGGATCCTGGGAACACTTCTGAGTGTAGTCTTATCACATTTGTTAAACAAGGACGTTGTTCCTGATAGTTGGAAACCAAGATGCATAGCATTGATTTTAAGAGGTGACCGTGAGTTTGACCACAAACGAAGTATGTTACGTAAGGACCGAGAAGCCTAGTGGTCGAAGCGTGCTAATGAGCTTGAAGCAGCAGCTGCATCTGGTAATTACCGGAAGCTTTTCCAACTCATCCGAGCTACTGGCAGCAAGAAGTCTAATGTGAGCGAAACAATCCACGAGGATGATGGGATGCCAATCACTAACATCCATCGACGTCTTGGACGATGGGCAGAATTTTTCGAAGGGCAGTTCAACTGGCCTGCTGCTCCGGCAACATCGGTCAGACTGTCCTGCCCTCCATGGCCGGTGATGACTGATCCACCAAATGAGGCGGAAGTCCGCAAGGAACTCCAATTCTTGAAGCGTTACAAATCACCTGGCCCAGATGACTTACCTCCGGCTCTTTTTATATATGGTGGTGACTTTCTGGCTAAGGAACTGATAAGGTTGTTTACAAAGTTCTCGGAGCTCGAGAGTGTACCAACGTCATGGAATGAGTCGATAGTTGTCCCTATCTTTAAAAAGGGTTCACGTCGTTCCTGTAACAACTATCGGGGGATAAGTCTACTTCCGATTGCGTCCAAGCTATTGGCTTCCGTCATACTTCGTAGGTTGTTCAAAACCTGAGAAACATTGACTCGCGAGGAGCAGGCTGGGTTTCGTTCTGGTCGAGGATGTATTGATCATATCTTCACCCTCCGCCAAATGTTAGAACACCGTCATACTTGTCAAAGGCCAACAATCGTAGTGTTTCTTGACATCAGGGCTGCCTTCGATTCGTTGGACAGGACTGTTCTCTGGGATTGTCTATTGAAGAAGGGTGTGCCTGAGAAATTCATTAACATCCTAAAAGCCCTATATACAAACACCTCAAGCAGAGTGAGGGCATACAACCACCTTTCTCCATTGTTCTATTCGAGCAGTGGAGTTAGACAGGGTTGCCCAATCTCACCATTCCTCTTCAACTTTGCCATCGATGACATTCTGGAAACAGCTCTGATGAATGTAAGTAATAGTGGTGTGGATCTGTTGCCTGGAGGAAGACTTCTCGACTTTGAGTATGCGGATGATATTGTCTTACTGTGCGATAATGCCCAAGCCATGCAATCCGCACTTAATCAGTTGGCAACCAGTGTCCGTAGGTATGGTATGTGCTTTGCACCTTCGAAGTGTAAAGTACTACAAGACTGGCAGGATTCTAATCCTGTACTCACTCTGGATTGTGAGCAAATAGAAGTAGTCGAGAAGTTTGTGTATCTGGGTAGCTGCATAAGTGCTGGTGGGGGTGTGAGTGGTGAGATCAACGCACGTATAGTGAAAGCCAGAGCGGCTTATGCCAATCTGGGCCACCTTTGGCGCCTTCCTGATGTCGGTGAGAGCAGTTCTGCTCTATGCTTGTGAAACCTGGCCTCTCCAAGTTGAGGATGTTAGACGACCCTCTGAGTTTGATCATCGTTGTCCCCGAAAGATTGCTGACATCCAGCGGTAACACCATTAGATGGTGGTTGGAGGTAGTCAACAGGAAACCCTGGACCCGGGTTTCGTGCTACTTCGCACTCGTCAGCAATGTGTACCTGTAATCTTGAGGAAACTGGTGCCCCCTGGCGGATTCGATCTCGTGTCACCCAGCTTCAAAGTCAGAGACGTTACCACTGAGCTATCCGAGCCGCGACTGACCTTCTGTAGGACTGAGATGTAATCTAATCTCAATACATAGTGCCCACAGTGTCGAGTCACCTAGACTGGTGGCCACATTGCAACATGACCGATAGAATTCGATCTGCACTAATAAAGACTAGACAAGCATGACATTGATCACCACCCAGTGATCAATCAATTGTGATTACATGTGTCAGGTTCTGAGTCGTGTTTGAATAGACTGACCAGCGTTCGATCGCAAAACAAACTAAAAAGACGAATAATCAAAAACATGAAAACTTAAGCAATGATTTTACAATATTTACACAGTCGAAGAGTCGGAGTTTTAGCTTGATAAATGAACCACATCTGAGTAGAAGAAAGATGTGCAACAAAAATTGAAAGTGCAGTCTAACCTTTTGAAGAAGCTTTCTTGAAATAAAAACCTAAAGCAGAACAGAAAGTCTAAGTGTCCATAGGTTTTCCGGTCAGCGTTTTTTTGCAAGGTTCTTTTGTTGGGATGGATTTGAAATGCAAGACAAAGCGTCCGGAGGCTCTAAAGGATTCGAAGAGATTTCGTACAATTGGAACTTGTAGAGTATTCTAGATTACTAACGTGACATGTGACGATTAGACAGTCGCATAAATTGCCTCCTTGGAGATTGGCAGAATTATGATAGTGTCTATAGCCAATATCAATAAGTATAAACACTCATGTTTTTTATACATTTGTGATTTTTACGCAATACCCATTTTTGCTGCTTTCCTTCGATCTTTTGATTTACGACTATAAGGGTTTTACACGTTCTACTTACGATAGTTGTATACTGTATTCTGTCGTAATCAAGTAGCAAACTGGCGACGAGGTATACCAATTGCAGTGCCAGTAACTCTTGAACAAGTAGAATCTTTGCCTGAACGTCGGGAAAAACGGCATGAACAGTCCCAAGTTTGTATCCCGGGAATCCTAACGCAATAAATGGACCTTAATCACAGAGGACTTACTGAATACCCATGTAACCCGCATACCGATTTCATCAACAATTCTAATCATGAAACCTGATTCAAGAAATATGAAGATTTTTCAAGATCCACCCCAATAAACTTGAACACGAAGATCACAGTAATTTCATTCTTTCAAAGAACCCAGAAGACTTTTCTTTTGATGCAACAATTGATATCCTGTCACAAATCTTTGATGAACAATAATCTTTATTTAATTATCTATTATGAGTGCCTCAAGATAATAGAGGCTGGTGATGATGACTGGGTGAAACATTCAGGTTTAGTAAATCGCGATTGCAAGCGGCTTAAACAATCGGCAATGATAGAAGGTCAGTTTGACAGTCTTATATCTGTGTGCAGTCTCCAATCTCCTGAAGATGCTGATATCAGAACCAGAATTTCAAGTAAAATTGAACGATATCCAAACATAACGCTACAAAAAGTAACCACAGAATAGCGGAGACTGGTAAACTTGAAACATAATACCTCCGTGGTTGAAAACAATAGCTGGTCGCTATACGTTCACGCTATATGCGTAAAGATTCGAGCTCACAAAAACCATCCCATATAGACAACCAGCCTTCATCTCCATGTTGGCCATGTGGAAGTTGGCATTACAAGAAGTTCCGTTCATATAAATGTCACAGTAAATGCCATAAAGAGACCAGCTGCAGAAAAAGAACCTATCGAGATCATACATGGAAACCCTATTCCAAGAAATACAGACCTCGTGTGATAACTAAATATTGATAGTTCATAACCGAGCAGGTATTTACCGCCAAAGAAAATATGTAACTGTGGACGTTAATAAACACTGTATCTTTCTTTAACTCGATACAGCATCTGACATTACTCATACCACCCCAGAAACTTGGAAGTCCCCCAGTTCGCCCAGCGACGGTACTAGCACACAGTGCTTCCGGTGGAAAGTTAAATATTGTTGAAGTATCCTGGACTGTTTCTAAAGGTAATGCAACTACGAATGCAACAATAAACACTACAAAGAATCCATCCCTCAGTTTACTGGGGTTAGATCCGATAGAGACACTAAAATTAGCAAACCATTCATCTAACAACATTTGCATCCGAGTCAGAACAAATAACCACCAGAGGGTAACGAAAAAACTGTGTTACAAAGACATCACCACGTGGTCACAGAAGGATTAAGAGAATACACGAAAGCTAAAGCATTAATAACCCACAAATCTGGAGCTACTCCTGTTTATCAAGTAATTAACAGTGTTTCCCGTGAGATACATGTGCAAAGGTACTAGACGTCTGTCAATAACATTGGAACCGGTCTCAAACGCCAATACATGTCAACGAGCAACACATCCACCCAGGGATGTTTCCACGATCATAAGATAGAGGAGGTAAACAGCTTATCCCCTGGTGAGTTTTTTTATGTGATAACCTCATATAAGTCAGGTAGGTAGTATAAATCATAGATAGAATGAATTCCCTAGTGTTAGTGTAACCATGAAGTTAAGGATTACAATTGATTTGGCATACAATGGGATGGGTTTCATTCTCTTCTCGAGTCGCGTCGACACATTACACCAGGGCTAGTGTTGTTATGTAAACGGTAGGAGTAGTGGAAGTTTTATGAGATGGAAAGATGGATTGTTTGAGTCATACACAGTAAGTAGCTAATATTTAGTGACATAAACAAATTCCCTTCAGTGTAGTATTAGACAACAAATCATGCATCTCTCACAAGTCGGTATTGATCTCATGGAAAACTGCAAATAGTTGAAAATTAACTGAATTAACGAATGTTGCTAATCTGCTTTCTCAGATTCTATGTTTTTAGTTAAACCAATGATCAGATTCATTAACCATTTCAGAGTAAATGAACTTTATTCTCTCATCAACAATCTGATTCATAAAATTTATTCATGTTTGCTCTTGCTCAGTAAATTCTCTACATAAATTTTCGCATTATGTGCTTCATCTTCTTCGGAATAAAGTATACATGTGCCAGGTTCCATGCCATCTACAACCGATTGGTCGAAAAATTTGGTCATCAAAACAAGCGAACCTACCATAGTTTTGTGAGACGTAAATAAAAGAAAATTATTATTATTATTATTATTCAGTTGCTTTTTATATATATATTATTCATTGCTAAAAACAATAAATTTTTGCTTACCATATTGATATCGTGTTTATCAATTTTATTGATTGCGACAACTATAGGAGCTAAAACGTTAATATACATAATATCCATTTAGATCATTTCATAAAGAATTTCATCATATCTAAAATAATAGGTAATTTACAAATTCATTTGATAATCTATTGGATAGTATTTGAAAGCGGAAGTGGGCTTACAATCTTTCATTAACATCGGTTAGGGTAAAATGACAGTACCATTATCTCTTAAATCCCTGAAGCATGACTCAAAATTACATTGATTAATATTGAATAAATAATTTTAAAGTCCACCTGGTGTGTTTGTGAGGTTACTGTCGGTCCCAAACCTAGGTAGACAAAGAGGGTTGGACATGGGATTATAAATACAATTCCTTGGAAAACAACATTGCCAAAAACGCTAACTGGAGAAATCACTCTAAACAGTTCGACTCTATCCTGGGAGTCGAAGAGTCTTCATAGAAAACGGCTTTAACGCCTCGGGCGGTGTGATATCCGTCTCTCAATTAAAAGACGGGTATACTGTGCAGCAGTTTGTTCTGTTCGACTTTACGGCTGCAAAACAAGGTCATTAAGAGTAGAAGATACTAGTAATCTACTAGTATTTGGCTACAGATGCCTGACTAGTGTTGGGGATGCCTGCAAGAAAGTAAGAGGCGACCAAACTAAAACGTGGCATCGGTGCTTGAACGCACTAACTTCTCGTCTGAGCCATGTTGGTAGATGCAAAGTACTTGGTTGGGGTCCGCGTGAATATCGTAACTAATGGTTGGAGACTGTGACATAACTCAGAATCGATGACAATGGCGTAGGTGTATACACTATTTGTCTTGCCTTAAAACGCGAGATTAAAATCACTCCATACTTTTCTTTCTACAAATTAATTCTTTCTCCCTGTATCATATCCTTAGATGAAATGTATTTCTTATCTACCACTGAAGTGACTACTTCTATGAATTTGGTGTTCATCTTGTTGTGCTAATGAGGTGTGGCAAATTGGACCGATGCACATACGTGCCTGGTCCTACGTTGTAGCTGACTGACTGTGACGCGTCATGATGAAAACCGATATTTTTGGGAAATCTCGAGGCCGATTCCTCTTCTGACAACCAGAACAACCGGGAGGACCATTAAAATATCTGCAGAAATGAGAGGATACAAATTGGCTCTGGTCGGAGTAAGTGAAACTCATTGGACAAAAGCTAGCTTCAGGAGAGCTTATGTCCTATTCTAGCTACGATGAGTAAAATGCCCTACAAGCACACAAGGAGTTGCACTAATGCTGTCCAAAGAAGCATGGAAAGTGCCCACAGGATGTGGATCACGTGGCTCCAGAACGACCAAAGCACCCTTCAAAACAAAGAAGGAAGGGATTACAATATGTGTCATTCAGTGATACGGGCTCATCGATAACAGCGGCAGATATGGTAAGCATCAGTTTTACGAGGACACAGTCCATTGTAGATAAATCCCCTGGAAAGACCTAGTGACCTTGATGAAGAACCTGAACACCAAAGTCGGGGTGGACACCAACAGGTACGAAGGCACCACAAGGCGACATGGACCAGTAGTTAGGAACGAGAAAAATGAGAGGCTAGTAGATCTCCGTGTTTTTAACCTGATAATAGGTGGCAACACTTTACCCACAAACGCATAAACAAATCTACATGAGCTTCAATAAATCACCACAGAAAACCAGATCGGCCACAGATGCATAAATAAAAAAATTCAGAAGGCACATGAAAGACGTAAAAATAAAGAAACGAGCTGATAACGCTTGATATCATCATCTAGTGGTGGCCGAGCTAAAACTGAAGATAAAGAAACACTGGACAATTGGACAAAGAGCGCAACAAGAGTATAGCACACGCCACCTTCGAGATGCTAACCAGCTCAAGAAGCACAATATGGCTCGCAACAACAAGTTCTAACACTTACAAGATCTACTAGAAGAAAGGGAGGACACTTTGTAAAGAAGATGAGAAGAGATTAAAGAAGCAATAGTTTCAAAATGCCATGTTTTTGATTTGAAGGAGCACCAGAATAAACAGTGGATCTCTGTTGATACTCTGAACAAGTCCATGAATTCACTGATTGCCAAAAAGAAACAATGGTGGTAAATATAGTCTATCTGGTTGGGGTAAGCCTGCTAACAATGGGCAACACGGCTCAAAACCGAGCACAATGTCGGAAATACACTCACTCTTTGTCTTCTCTTAGATCCTGAGTTTTAGGATTGTCGTTTACTTCTAATTGTGCAAATTCAGTTTTTCTTCTTAAATTATAGTGTGTATGAGTTATCTTTTCTAACATCACTAATATTGTTATTACTTCTATTAACTTGGCATTTTTTCTAATAATTTCATTTTGCTGCGCTGATGTGGTGTTACAACTTGCACTGTTGCATAAATGTGCCACGTTCTACGTCGCTTATGGATGACTGACTGCTTGATTGAAATATCATACTTTACAAGAAAAGAAGTATACTAACTCGATGAAGTCGCCATTTCCCTAACTGGATTCAGGGTCTCCAGGCATTTGGCGACTGTTTGAGACTAGTTCTACAGAATATCGAGCTCTGTCAGAATGTCGTGGTACCGCCTACCAATACCGTTTCAGAAATCAACGAGTCATTTTATAAGTTTGACACTTGAACATTGACCTAATGTCTCAACTTTCATTAGAAAATGAGATATAAAATAATTACGACATAGTATATTTCAAATAATGGATCACTCCAACATTCCTTTCTTCCAGATAACTTCTAAAATGCATGTTCATCGACAAGGACTAGCAAAACGATCTGTTCTTTCTAAACACAAAACAAACAGATTACGTTTGTACTAGTAAACGGAATACACCCATTCAGAGAGTGTAAACTACGTTATCATTACTCAATGCGTTTAAGAAGAGCCATCCATAAAATAAAACAAACTTATGGGAAAACTCACTGTTTGTTTCTTTTGCGTAACGAATTGCCTCAACAGTTTGAGGTTTAACCCCATCATCAGCAGCGACTACCAAAAGCATAATATCAGTTGCTTTTGCACTTCGAAAGCGAATGCCAGAAAATGCTGCATGGCCTGGTGTATCTAGAAAAGTGATGCTTCTGGAAAATGACACGGGATTGGGATCTGTAAATCCAGCATTGCGTTCAACAGATGACAAAGGTACTGTAAATGCGCCAAGATGTTGAGTTATACCTCCAAATTCTTCGTCAACAACTCTACTGGAGCGTAAAGCATCTAACAAAGTTGTTTTTCCGTGATCCACATGACCCAGGACAGCGACAATGGGGGGGCGTGGTTCACATTTCTCCGGAGGACAAGGTGGTCTAAAAAAATGAGGGAAACAAGGTTGAGATAGAAAATGATAACTGAACTCAAATAAATAAGACATAATATGGGTCGATTTTCCTCATGTAAAAGTGAAAATTATTAATATAATTGGTTTAACCTGAAACAAAACTGTTAATTAACATTAACTTCGAACTAATACCTAAATATATGTCAGATAACCAGAATAACATTTTTTGATTGCAATTCAGTTAAAACATAATTATATGAACAAAGAATATTCTTTTCAATAATTTCCCATCAGGTTCTATAATTATAAATCCAAATTAATAATCCATAAAATTGGCCAGATTTAAGGCAGAGTACATCATATAAAATTGTAACATATGAATTAAAGACTGTTTGTGATATAAAATAAAATAAAATCGTTAGTTTTGGGATGACTAATATGAAGTGTTAACTTGAATTAGTTTATACGTGAAATGAAATTGTGAGATACATGATCAGTATAAATATGGTCAACATGGAGGTGAGAGAGAGGATAATGTAATTACATATCAGAAATTACGTAATATTATTCAGGTCAGATATAGCAGATAGGGTTGGATGCTGAATAAATTTCTCAAAAAGATTAGCAAGTGTAATTATAATAATAGTAATAATCATAGTAATAATAATAATAATGACAATAGTATCGTAGTGAAGGAAAACACAAGTGGTGACAACCGAATTATATTTAGCACATTACAGAGTTACTTGGCAAAATAGAAAAACCATACTATAATACTTAATTTGCAAAATGTCCAATAATTGTCTCAGACTTCACTGTTCTTGCATTTCCAGACTAGTTGCTTTCTATTCCCGTTCTTCCTTTCTTGATCTTCCCAATCTTCTGCTGCTAGAAATTACATTCCTGACTCGCGTTATATACTACTTAGGTCAATATAAGTGGACACACCACACTCGTCCACAACTTTAATAAGGTGCCTTCGTAGTCTTTCTGATCGCCGTACAGATGTCTTCTTCGGTGCTGTTTGTGACTCACACTCATAATGGTCTTGAAACCATCTCTGTAGTTGACTGGCATTTACGCGCTTCTGCTTGTCTTCTCTCCGGATCTCGTAAACCGAGCCACGTCTCTCCGTGAGGACGTACGGTCCTTCCCATTTTGGGATCAGCTTTCCCGACATTGATCCCCCTGCTACGTTACTTTTCCGTTCTCTACACTGCACTATGTCCGCCACTGCAAAAGGTTTCCACGGTCTCCTCTGTTGTTGCGCCTTCTTTATGTCTGACATTTGTTTGTTTTCCACTACTACTTATGTCAATATAAGTATCACGCACCACAGTAAGATGTGTGAATAAGATAAGCTTAGGACATAAAAATGAAGATTAATCAAATTACATCACCATATTATGAAATTGATTATTAACTAGTTGGGCCCGAAGCTGGCCAGGGTAAAATAAGCGGCTGAACAGATTTCTTCTGGATACAAAGCTCTGACTTTTTGATCCAAATAGCAATTGCTTCAGCCATCTACAGGATTCTCAGTCTGACAGAATTAGGTAGACTGCTGTCAACACGATATATTATTGTGAAAGATTGCTCCATGTTGGTTGTGTATTGTGTCTGAATTAAATGGGCTGAAATGAAGCTGTTAACCGTTTTAACTACACATTTGCTTAACCACATTAGGAGGTGCTCACGAGCCCGAATATACAAATTCCTAGAACGTCTGCCGATATAACTTGCTCCACAGGAGCAGTTGAATTGATGGATACAGAAACAGGTGGCCAGTGTAGGCAATTTATCTTTCGACCTCAGAGTGATCATTGAACGTGTGGAAAACACTAAGTGTAGTTTACCTGCATTGAAAGTTTTGTACAAATGTTGTTTCCTATTTTATGATACGATGTGGTCTGTTTTATTTGTATATAAACCCAGCAAGCCTGAAATAAATGATTCATATTGCAGAGGCTCAGATCGGTGTCCTGGACTTAACTCGCTGGGATAGGCGGAAAGCAGGACCAATAAGGATTCGAGACTGCTCGCACGGGTTTTATGCGTCATTGGTCCAAAAGATAATTCTTTGCTCTCTGATTGGCGGTATCGTTATGTTATACAATAAACAGGGCACACATGTCACAAGTTACAACCAAAAGTTGTTTGGATTGATCTGCGTAACTTCAGTCTTAGCATTTCACTAAGTGCATCGCCTCTGGATTGTAAGCGAATATACAGAGGCTTTTTATTCACGCTTAGGCATACTCTATGCTCTCTCTTATTGGCTATGTTTTTATTTGTAAATTTCTCATGATGTCCATTTTCTTTCAGGGTTGTATATAATACCTTTGTTTCATCTTCAACCGTACCTAGAGGGCACATGGTCTTGATTATATGGTGCAGTGTATTGATCAGGTTCTTTTTGTATTGCAGAAGAACGAAACTAAGAAAGTTTGTATATTGGCCTGTCCAAGTAGTTTTCTTGTTTATGTTTCTTCTTAATGACCCGTCTTTTGTCCTCGTAAGTAGAACATCTAAAAAGGCTATTCTATCCCGATTTTCTCTCTCACATGTGAATTTTATGGATGGGTGAACTGTATTGAGTCGCTCAAGTGTTTTTATCAAGTCCGTATGGTCGTTACAAAGGATAAACGTATCATCCATATATCGGCAGTAAAATGAAAACTTGTCAATCTGTTGTGCCAGTGAGCCGTTTTCTAGTTTAGAGAGGAAAACGTCAGCCAATATGGGACCTAGGTGTGAACCCGTCACGACACCATCTATTTGTCTATATTTTAGTTAATGAATGAATAATTATTATCGCAAACATAAAAAACTAAATGGCCATGATGGGCTTCTTGAGATAAACAGAAATGTCACTTCCTAGATATATTTGCAATCATTTAGATACAGTATACGTTATTCATTATCACCCTTCTAAGGACATCTTTCATGAATAAAACTAAGTATCTTAACTTCAAGACCGCCATGTGTGCAAAATGATACACATGAACAAAAAATTAATAATGTAACCCAATAAAGATCCTATACGTAACGAAAAACAAAATTTGTTTAAATCAGGGGAATTCAGATCTTCAGCGTGTGATGGAACCCAGCAAGTGAACAATCACTTACCTAGATTTGGGCCACACTTTGTGAGGTGGAGAAGTGAGACAACTAGATTGTGGAGTGTTTAGGCTACACAGTTTGTTTGTTGTTTGACACGTTACTATGGCCTAATTGTTGGAGACATGGGATTCTTAGTAGAGTTGATTTGATGGCTTAGTGGTTAAGGCGTTTAACCTTTAACCACTAGTTTCCAGATCCAAGTGTCACTTCACATACGTAGGTTTGCTCATGTGCGTAGTTGCACAAGCCTTCACACATAAAGTGAGAACTAATACACTAGATAACTGTAGAGACTAATCCTACCGCTGATCGCTCGCAAGCTTATGACAATCATCATTTGGAATAGATAAAATCTAATTAAGCTTCTCCAAAGATACCTATATACAACCACTTTGGCTCATTTGCTCAAAGCTAAGTGAATCTGAGCGCAACTTTAATCTTAACAATTCAGTAATCTATTTAAATGCATTTTTGTGACTAAGAATCAGTAAAGTTTCATTGCAAAAGACATTTTTTAAAATAACTTTGTCTAAAACGTTTATCTGCCGTAACCAATGGTTATAAGGTATGAAAGTATTAACTTTCTGATTAATTTGTCTTAGCTTTCAAGTACTATGCCTCAAATTTGAACCGTGCTCCACTTACTTCGGGTCGACAAACCTGGTAGCACTAATATATCTCTCGAATTTAAAGTGTGCCTCATAACAAGTACCTGATAGATGAGTGGATTCTTTTATTCTCCCGAGGATTGAAACGAAAGTGGAACCAGTCGCCAAATCTATACTTGAAAGTAGAATTTAATCTCGGTATATACAATACTACTGTGTCAGTGGACTTGGATATAAACAAAATTACACAGCAGCTTCAGATACGCTACGTTCTACATTAATTAAAAACGTCAACAATTAAATGCACTCTACTCTGTAGAAGTTGAAACATAATAGGAAAAGCACTTTCGAAATTTCTGACCTCTTTTAGTGGCTCAGGAAATGTAGTGTTTTATTTAACTTATCCTCATTCAAATTGATTTTACAATTGTGGAGATTAAATTACCTTGGATAAGCATCACAGTCAATTGTTTCGTGAATAATCTGGTGTCTGAACGCTGGTGTGAATCCCATTAATTTCACCAGAGTTTCGATTATCGCTTTATCTTCCAACTCTAAAGTTTAACTAACTGTGCAAAAGCAATCATACTTGAATTGGTGTTTGCTTTGTGTTTTGTAACAAGGGCTGAGTTTAAGGTTCTAAGAATTATGTGAGGAGATATTTTAGCAGCTGACGACAATTCCTTGATAGTTATCCCCTCCCATACCTCAAGTTTGCTCTTCTTGGATGTCTTAAAACGAATATTAGTAGTTTAATTTTACTTACGAATGCAGGAGAATGAGATTTTGAACTGTAGCATACTTTGTAATATGATGGTGAGTAGCACACTGACCAGCGAACTTTCCACAACTTGAAAATCATTTGCAGTCTTTTTGGAAGGTTTTACGCGAAGTATGGTTTGTAATTCCGTGGCCTTTTTTGACTGTATCGATGATGAACAAGTACTTTGTTTCCCAAATATTTCATGTACCTTTAAAAACAGGGCGGCAAATAATAAAGCCCATGTAGAAACATACAAAGTTGACGTTTTTGTATTAGTTCGCTGAGATTTTTTCTCTTGATTATAGTATCTAAAAAGGAATGAGGAACGAAAAACTACACTCCCACAAATAATTTCTCGAAACTTAGAAATATTATTCGACATAAAACCGTGTGATCATAATAAATTAATTATGAGTATACGGTTGTGGATATTGTTGAGTTGCACTGAAATCATGAACCAATTGGTGTTAGACCACCGTTGAAATTCTAGAAGCACTGGATGGCCGTACCGTGTTTAAACTTAAAAAAACCCACGATGCTTTACGACCCACTTCCATTATCTTCGGTGGGCAACTGTCTCACACCCGACACTGCTGAACTCCACTAGTCACGACTTCTCACTAGAGCTCCAGGAATTACCTCTCGAAGCTAGTCACTAGTGAGCACATGATGATTATGAGTATAGGGTTGTGGAGATTGTTGAGTTGCATTGAGACCAAATAACCAGGAGAAAACCACGGAAAAACCGTAGGGAAAGTAATATTACTTTGATAAAAGTAAAACTACGGGTCAAATGTACTGCAGCATTCCTGGGAAAGCACAGTAACGAGCCAGGGTATTATGTATTCGGAATATCACTTGTTTTCTCCAACATAATAAAATACAAAAACAAAGCTTGTTATTAAGTTTTTTATTTTTAGGACGAAAAGGATCGATACATTTTAGAAATACTCGATAAATATTTCGTTGCTTCGAATCTCTAAGAAATCAATCTAGAACCACTTGGTTTTTTAATAAGCAGTAAAAATGAGTGTGTTAGATGTCAGCTGCTACTCCAAACGATGCACTGTCATTTGTTCTGGTAGAAAGATGACGGAAAATATTTTATCGTGAATATACAAGCATGACCATAATCTTTTTGAAAAAAACGAGGTGCGCATTAGCTTATCACGAGACTTAGAAACAGAATAGTTTCGTTTCATTAAATACAGCTACTACAAACCTAAAATAGAAGTCTCCAGCGTTCGACGTATGTTATCTTTAAAGAACTGGTGCGTGCGATAAAGCTAAACGATAAGAATACCAAAGGTTATTTCGAGGACTTAATGTATAGGGTTATAAACCTTCAAAACACAGAGCTTTGGACTGTCTGTGTAAAAAGGCACTGCACATTGAGCAAGGCTAGTAAATGGCAAGGATAGTGCTACAATCATGTGATGAAAAATAGCGAATATTTAGCTGTAAAAGTGGTCACACCATCAAAATCGAAAAGCTGGTAATTATCTGCTCACCACTAAATCTACTGATAAGTCTCCCTAGTAGGGTAGACTGATCAATTTCATGTGCTTGGAAACAACTCAATACCATTTTGAGGATACACTGTCAGGTGGAACTGTTGGAATATGTCAAACCTTGGTAGAGAAAGGGGTAAAATTCTAACTTATGTGAAATGGAAACTAGAGCCTTGATGATATGATATTATCTATACAAGGCGACATGATGTATGTTGACTTTGCTGTTTGTGGCAGGATACCCAAAAACCCCTATAATCCAACATTTGTCCACATAATACTTAATTATTTTGAGGACATGAAACGTTGGAAATCCCACAATACAGAATTTTAAGTTACTTCGTTAGACAGTCGGTGTGCGACAAATATCTCTATTGCACGAAATTATGCTGGATTTGAAGTACCCATTATACAGAAGTTTAATCGTGAATCAGAAGAAAAGTGTAATTGAGCTGATTCCTGGTGAAAGTCGGGATATTGCTTTGAAATAACAAAATTTGCTAGTTGAATTATTTTTTTATCTTGTCTAGGATGCATGCTGCATGCGTGAAAAGAGTTAACGTAATTAAAAACGACTGATAAAAATTACATATTTTGGTAAATAACAACTACGTATGGCTTTCCAGGAAATCATGAAATCACGTAATAAATAGAGTTTATACCATAACTCAAGTAGATCGTTCAATCAGATCACAATACTTCATACTGAAAACAAGGATCGAAAGACGCAGTAAAACGAAACAAATCATGATTCATTGTTGTAACATTTAAAGTAGGCTGTCAGTTCTTTAATCGCTACCGAGGGTTTTTAGCATGCCTTATTTATTTTAAAGATAGCGACACTCACGTGTTTACTTTATCCTAACAGTCCATCTAATTAGTAAACACAAAATATCCAGTATTTGGATAACTAGTCCTAAACACGTTGGACGTTTTGTGTTCTGTTGTTGTGATTAGAAAAAAACTACTTTTCGATGTCAATCGAAATGTAAATGATCCTGTTTTTATAATTTATTGTCCAAATTGACGAGATTGGTGAATATTCCACTTATCACAAAGGGAAATCCTAAAAAAAGGTCATAATTCAATAATTATATGGGTGTCCAGAAGTAACTACAGGATTAGAAGGCTAAGTATACAGTAACTAGCGTTTCAATAATATGGTGTGAATGGTGATGATGGAATAGAAACTTTTGCTTAGCTGGCTTTGTATCTAGCGGCAGTGGAACCCCGGTACTTCTAGGTACGGACCTAGGTTTATTTAGCAAAGAGAGAAATACTGTCCTAATACTTTAAGGGTAGATTAAAGTTCTGCTAGAAGGACTCCAGGGACGTTTATAGAACCAATTCAGCCAGAGTAGCTGCCCCTACAGTCCAGTTTGCTTTGTTATCCCTTTAATTTTTGGTCATCGACCCTAAGGTTTGTGTTGGAACTGAGCTTAAGTATTTTAGAGGGTACCCAGGGATGCTTAGGATACTACAGACCATTAAAATGTTGCTCGGGTCCTGTAAAAGTTAATGGATAACAATCCAATAATTTAAAACGTTCTTCATAAGGTTTGAAATGAAGTCCCCGAACTAAAGTCGTGCATTTACTTAAGATATGTTCCAGAGTTTTCTTCATATTTTAAAGTGCAGGAGAAAACATCATATTTTCGTACTCTAAATAGGGTCGAATAAAACTAATGAATTTACGTAAAGTTTTATCATCTGACCTGAAACGTGCTTCATGTTTGTCGGTGCACGGTTTGCTCTAAATACATCCAGAGTAAGATTATTGGGTATTACATGAAGAGGTTCAAACTCTGGGCTATGAACAAGGAAGCTGTTGAGGATGTTAATATTGTGGCTCATTTCCTTACATTTGTTGGAAAAGAAGCAACGCTGATCCAGAAGCTTCAGATTATTATCCTGGATGCAAACTCCCATCTAAAGTTTAACATCATCAGCAAGAAGCCATAACTCAAACGATACTTAGAGGGGAAGGCTATCTATATGGATTAAGAAAAGTAGTCCTAATGCCGAACCATGAAGGGACTTTACTAGAACATTCCGTAGCCTGAGAAGTTTACCCTGAATCTGAACAGTTGATTATTTGGATATGGCTCAAAATAGTCCATTGATTGTGACTTGATGCCTATCAGCTTAAGCTTACTGGTGATACATATACGATTGATTGTAGTAAAGGCTTTCAAGAAACCGAGATATATCGAATCAACATTTATCTAGCGATCAAGAACGAAGATACATTTTACTCAGTCTATTCAAACACAACTCAGAACCTGACACATATACACATCACTTCAAGTTGCCGTACCCTATTAGCATAACAAGATGAAATTATTAGGGCAAATTCTAGTTCAGTAGGGGGAGTAACAGGATTAGTGGTAGCAGAATAGATTAAACAGCCAAGATACAATTCAACAAGTAAACATACATTAGTGAAATAATAGAATTTTGTGGGGAATTTAGAAATTCGGATCTAAGTGAAGAGAAAGAGTGAGTACAGCTGCACCATTGCCAAAGATTTTGAGTCATGTCATTCAAATTCTCTAACAAATGTTAATGATAATCATACAGACCCCAACCAGGTAGTTTGCACCTGTGTCTACCTACAAAGCTCAGTCCAAAAGTCATTTTTTTTCATGGATTGGTGCGATGATTTAGTTTGGTCGCATCTGGATTTTTCCCAATACATCTATATCGGGTCTCATTGAGTATTGAGGTGGTTGGTGGATGAGCAGACGTAATAAATGTCCCAATATTCTGTCAACAAAGATTTATCACCTCATCAACTAGTTTCTCATACTCACGTAGTACTGTGCATATAATGTGAAGATTGAGAACCCAATGGTCCCAGAGTACACTAGAAATGCCTCAATGATACCTACTATCAAACAACAGTGACCTTCTAATATCCTTGATTTTTGGAGTTCTTGTTCCATTTCCATAAATAACGGAGCGGATTGTTGTCCAGTAAACGCACCTACGCCAAAAATGGTGTCCTCTCGCAAACGCCAACCAGGCTACTTGAACACGTGATGAAACCTTGTAAGGCGCCAACTCAACAGGGATGATAAGACTCCCAAGCTAAGTGAAGTAACTGACGCGCTTAACCAGTCCATTCCCCACCCTTAGTTCAGGCCTTGAAGCACACCAGTCTTGAGGCAGTATTTAGCACCTAGGCGGACAGAAACACACTATACACGTTTTCACATTGCCCCTTAAGGTGATCATAAGTCTGCATTCCTTCATTGTCTTTACTAGGCAGAACCAAATAATCTACTCGTCACCGTTAGCAGATTGGTGACGCAGGTGGAGGTCCACCTGAAACTATTTTCGAGGTGAAAATAAGTTTTAAGATAGCAGGCAGTTGCATAAGCTGTCGTACATCAAGGATAACATGACCTCAGAGAGTACTGGCAGAAATGCTACCGACAGTTGGATTGAAGGTTCATTACTTCGGTCACCTCTTATTTATTTATTTATTTATATAGACGGAAAAAATAAGAACAAGATAACCTTGATGTATTCCTCCATTTCAAAAAGTGCACTTAAAGTAGTCCCAATAACCAATGATCAAGATATGTGTAGTAAGAACAGAACATCTACTGCCTATGCCATTCATTTCTGAAGTAGACCTCAGAGTTCTAGAATTGCATCGGTAGCTGCTTTCTGTACTTTTTCGAGTGACGCGCTCGTTTCAAAAGGTGCAGTGATTTTTGTACTTGTGATTATACTTGCTTTAGGTAGTTATTGCACCAGAAAGCATTCTTGGTCTACTTTAACTTAAAGTACTTTGGTTAAAGTCTGAAATTCTTAGCCAATTTTTTCCTGAGTACCTTTTTTTACTCCTGACTAACACTTGTGTTCACATTGTGATCATTTTGTGTTTTTAAACCTTTTAAATCGAATTACAATGGTTGGTAAGACTCACAAACGTGGGCAACCAAATTGTTTGTTCCCCGTGGAGGAGGGAATGCAATGTGACGATTGCAAAAAGTGTTACCACAAAATATGTACACGCCTAAGTTCGACGGCTTATAAAAGATGCTCGAAGCCTAACTCGCAATGGCTTTGTATGCTCTGCTGTACGGATAAAAAGGCACTAATTCAGAAGGCTATGGGCCTATTGGCTTTGGCCTGCAAGAAAAACGATGGCGGAAGCAATGATAACAAGAGAACTGACGGTGAAGCATGAGTCAGTGTAGTAGGTGCTGCTAACGGACCCGTTAAACACCTGACTGTGGTTGACGGGAACGTGAAATCTCCGTTGACAATAACGAGGAATGATGTGCCGCTTGATATTGACATCGGCAGTCATACACCTCTAGTCGAAATAGAAGATCCGGATAAAACTGCCACCGTTTCAAGTAGTCCAGGTGTGGCTGTCCTGAGCGGTGACAAATGGACTTCAGTAAGGAGAAAAAGAAATGTGAAGAAAAAGACTGTAGGCAAAACGCAGCACGTCAGCAAGGCATTGGAGGGGATGTTATCAGAAGAAAAATCCTCACTGCGTGACAAGACAGATCTCTCTGAGAGATCAGTCATTTTGCATAAGATAAGAGAATCTTCAGATAAAGAACCAAAGACGAGATTTGAACACGATCCCAATCATATTAAGACATCATTAAGTAAACTACTCACAGATACAGTTTCAGGAGTCAGTATTTGTAAGCTTTATAGAGTAGGAAAAAATGTGGATTCCGAAAGTCCTCCGAAAAGCCGCCTCCTGAAGGTTACATTCAACACGGTGGAGGAAAGGAACCTGATTCTAAGTAATTCACGTAAACTGATAGGATCCGGAATATATGTCCGTGAGGATCTCAGCCTAGCAGATCGTATTAAGAAAGGATCTGCAGAAGCGGAAATAAATGAACGTCGCCAAAACGGGGAAAGGAACCTTGTTCTTAAGGGTTTTCAAGTTGTAAAAGTTCGGAGCAAAACGACCCTCAAGCCACTCCGGGTGGCAAGGGAAGGCTTTCCACAGACTTAAAGGTATGCTACACAAATGCTCGCAGCCTACTAAATAAAATGGCGGAGCTCAAGTCAGTGGTGGATAAAGAAAAACCGGATGTTATTGCTGTCTCGGAAAATTGGTTAACATCAGAAGTATTAGATAATGAAATCCAGTTGACTGGTTTCATAACCGGTAGGGCTGATAGATTAAACCGTAGGGGAGGCGGGGTTATTCTTTACACGAAAAGTACCCTAACCATAAGATTAGCTGAGACAGTAGCACATGTTTCAGGGACATGTGAACTGGTGAGATGTAAGTTGAAATGCCGATGGCAAGATATTGAATTAGTTGTAGTATATCGCAGTCCAGAATGTGTAGCAGATGATTTTCTTCTAAGTAAACTTAAGTGCTGGTGTAACAACGGTAAAAGTCTTGTAGTAGGCGACTTTAATGCACCACATATAAACTGGGTTGAATTAGAAGTAGGGTCATCCGTATCGTCGTTCGACTGCAAACTGTTAGAAACCTCGATTGGATTAGCATTATTCCAACACATTAGAGATCCCACAAGATACGACCTAAGAAACTCTTTCTCTCTTTTAGATTTAGTTTTCACACACAGTGATGACGTTGGTCAAATGGCTTTTCTCCCACCACTTGGGAGAAGTGACCATGCAGTCATCTTATTCAAATTCATGGCTGCGATTGCATGTCAAACAGTTGCGCCGGCCCGTCCTAATGTATGGAAAGCAAATACGGACGAAATCAACACCGCAACATCGGGTGAAAACTGGGAGACCGACTCAGGAGCATCCGTACAAGAGGCATGGACTCAATTCCAGCAGCTATACAATAGGGTAACTCAACCATACATACTTTGGACAGTCCCAAAGAAAAAGAAGCACGGACATCCCTGGATTGGCCGGGATATTCGACCCATGTTAAAACAAAAGAAGAAATGTTGGAATGTTGTCATCCGCCTTGGCACGGAAGGTACGATGGAACACTACGGGTCGGTAAGAAACACGTGTATAACAAAAATTCGGGAAGCTCAAAGGAAATATGAAATGCAGCTGGCACAATCTGCACTCAAGCAGCCCAAGAAAATATTCTCGTACATAAACTACGGAACAAGGATGCATCATTGGATTTCCAGCCTCATCAAACTAGGATTAGAGTCTAAAACGATAGAGGAAGATCAAGAAAAAGCAGAGGCTATGGCTGAATATTTTGGGACGGTTTTCACTCAGGAACCTCCTCTAGAGAATGAATCAGACAAAAATACAGAGTCAACAAACAACCTTCCCACCGTGGACTTCGATCAAGACGATGTGCTTAAGGCTGTGAGTACCTTCAACATGGAGAAGTCTACAGGACCAGATGAACCACACGCCAAAATCTTGAGACATATTGCCCAATATATCGCAGCCCCACTGACTGTGTTATTCAATATGTCACTTGACCAAGGTGTGATACCTATGGACTGGAAGAACGCAATCGTCACTCCCATACATAAAACAGGTCCACGACAAGTTCCATCGAATTACAGACCCGTAAGTCTCACCAGTGTGGTAATTAAAATACTGGAAAGAATAATCAAACGGACCATGACGGCATTTATGGAAACCAATAACTTGCTGAACATGGCATAGCATGGTTTTAGAAATAGTCTATCCTGTACAACGAACCTCCTTATAGCAAGGGAGTTCTGAATTAATGCGCTAGACAACGGAAACTCAGTGGATGTTGTCTACATAGATTTCAGTAAGGCTTTTGACAAGGTGCCAACAAATAGACTGCTATTGAAGTTGGAAAACCTTGGTATTTCCGGACCTCTTTTAAAATGGATTAAAGATTTCCTAGTAGGTCGTAAACAAAACGTAAGAATAAATTCCAAGTGCTCCATCTGGAGACCAGTACTTGGTGGAGTACCCCAAGGTTCCGTCCTAGATCCTTTACTTTTGATACAGTATGTAAATGATCTTCCAAGTATAGTACAGTCCCCAGTGCTAATTTACGCTGACGATGTAAAAGTCTGGAGAGTAATAACCGGAGACACAGACACATGTGCTGGTCAGGCAGACATAAGTAATATGATTAACTGGTCTAAAGAGTGGCTGATGCCTATCAACGCGGCAAAGTGTGTCTACATGCACTTGGGGGATTCAAAGGTAAATAAGTACAACATAGGGGATGTGTCATTACCCGTAGTCCGGTCTCATAAGGATCTAGGGGTGACAGTGAGTAATGGTCTTAAGACGACGGCCCATTGCCGGGAGGTTGCAACTAAGGGTTTTCGAACCCTCTGAGCGTTAAAACGTACATTCACTAAGTTAGATACTACCATGTTCACCACAGTATACACATCCTTAGTGAGAACTAAGCTAGAGAACTGCGCTCAGGCTGCAAGCCCCTGTTTAAAAGGTGACTCGGACATACTAGAAAAAGTACAGAGGGCAGATACCCGTGCAATTCCGGAACTCCGGGGTTTATCATACAAAGAGCGGCTTGAAAAACTGGACTTCTTTACTCTGTCCTATCGCAGACTAAGGGGAGGTCTAATTTTGATGTACAGAATACTGAAAAATGATTTCGGACCTAACTTATCCTCTCTCTTTCTTTCCACTAGATCGGGACACCTTAGAGGGCATAGCAGGCGAATAGAAAAGCCAAGAACGAACAAAATACCCGTGGCATACAGGTTTTCACACCGCATCAACAATACTTGGAACCTGCTGCCTAAAGCAGTGTTGTCCGCACCTTCAATTGACTCTTTCAAGAGAAGACTGGACACTCACAGAAGCATACTAGAAAAGGAATAACATAGGCCGTAGGCCTTCTGTCCTTACTACACAAATCTGAACACCTGAGTTACCTGCTGAACAGGACCTTGAAGTCTGAACGCAGTTCACAAGTTTAGTTCTTACTAAGACTGCATGTGTTGTAGTGAACATAGTTGTATCTAACTTGGGGGACGTTCGTCTTAAATACCATTGGGTTATAAACCGCTAGCTGAAACCTCCCCGTAATGTGCCGTTGTTCTAATATCATAACTCACTTTCACCCCAAGATCCTTGTGAGTCAGGATCACGAGTGCGGGAACTTCTTCAATGATGTAACCATCTAACTCTCTTTCCTCAAAGACCATGTGGACAGTTTGCTGCGTTAATATGCATCAGCCACTTTTTAGACCAGTTAATCAAAATATTTAAGTCTGCCTGAAGTGAGCACGCATCTGCGTCTTCTGTTATTTCTCTCCAGATTTTTACATCACTAGCGTATTTTAGTATTGGGGTTTCATCTATACTTGGAAGATCATTTGCGTACAGTATGAAAATTAAAGGACCTATGACAGGAACTTGGGGTACTCCACTAAGTACTGGTCTCCAGGTGTATGACTTGGAATTTATTCTTACTTTCTCTATACGACCTAACAGGAAATCGTTTAGCCATGAAGAGGGACATCCAGCAATGCCTAGATTTTTCAGCCTCAAAAGTGATCTGTTTCTTGGTACCTAATTGTAGCTGTACAGAAGTCTATGTAGACGACATTCATTGATTTTCCATTGTCTAGAGCCTTTTTGCATTGCTTCCTTGCTATGCGGAGTCTTGTTGTTCAAGATAAAGCTCTTCTGAAATCATGTTTTTCGTTGTCTAACAAATTAATGGCTTGCAAGAATGTGATTATGAACTTTTTGACTATTCTTTCCAGTACCTTAACTACGACACTGGTGAGGCTGACAGGTCTGAAGTCAATGTAAGTTGTCTTGGTCATGTTTTATGTATGGGAGGAACGAAAGCATCCCTCCAGTCCCTAGTTAACATTCCTTGGTCAAGTGACATATTGAGTATCAAAGTTAGTGGGGCTGCAATATATTGTGCAATCTGTCTCAGGATTTTGGGGTGTAGCGGTAAATAAATCCCCAAAATAAATAGCTCAGTAAATCTTCGATATTGGATGCTGCCCACATTAATTTTAATGGACTTATCTAGCTGAAAGCGTTCGGTCATGTATCCACATCAGATCACGAGTGGGAACGCTGTGCTCAACATCCATTGCAATCACTAACCAGATCAGATCAGTTGATCCTCGATATATTGATAGCCTATCAACTGTATCTTCGAACGTCCTCGCTTCTGTCTTTTGATGTCAGCTGTAAGGTACGCTTCTCGTTAGAAGGTGTTAATGGTTAAAGCGCTGTCAATCTGCAAAGACCTGTGGCATCTTCAGTCCGGTTCTATTAAATTTTCCGTGTCTAAAGTACCGTAGGATTTAAGTATTTCGTCTCGATTAAAGTTCACGGTGGGCAAACGGTTTGTTGATTTTGTATTGGGGTCTAGTTCTTCATCTGGGAGAGACTCCTTAGTGAAAACTGCTTCGAAACAGTTTGCCATAGCTTCTGTCTTATTCTGATCATCCTCTATCATTTCCTTAATAGGGTTAGGAATCCAATGCTGTGTCCTTAATCTGTGATTCATGTTTGAGAATAGTCTCTTAGACTGCTTGATTACAATTTGTGCCAACTGCATTTCGTATTTTCTCTGAGCGTTAAAGACAAACGTGACTGGTGAAAATGACCAGCTGTTATACATCACTGATGTGAATAAAGTTTGTCATCTCGAGGACATTGGCTTAGAAGTAAGCGTTCTTCTCGGAAATGCAAACAACTGTCTTCATGATCCTGTTTTCAGCCCACAGGCGAAAAATTGAAAACCGTTGGTCATAGGGGATATAAGTTGAGTTCGCCTTGACATGAATTTACACAAACACATTCACTAGATTTTTGTTGTTGAAGACGTTTCTACGTCAGTTGTCGAGATATACATGCTATAACATCATAATCTACTCATCGACCGGAATAAACAGAGGTTAGTAGGTGGAAGTCATCTTCTTATGGGACGTCATTATCTAGTTATAAGTTATGCCTGAACACGGTTAAACAGATAAATGATGCGTACCTCCATCAGACAATCGACAGGTGTCTTTAGCTTCACAAACATGACTGCAACCACCGTGTGTAACCAGAAATATTTCACACCACATCAGGACTACAGAACTACCTCCATTTTCTTGGCAGACAAAGATACCACACATATACAATACTTGACAACAGCTTGGCCCATTTTCATAGTCAAAATATCACAAATCCAGTCTAACCAAAAGTCAGGAAAGAAGTTCGAAGGTATATTTGGAAAGTTGTCAATGTATTGAGAAGAGTTTGATTGATGCTGAGTAGTAACTACAGGGGATGCAAAGCACGGCCTAACCACTCGTGATTTACTGCGGATGCGTCACCGAAATTCTTCATCCTGAGTTTGTCCAGCAATCTCAATGAAGTCATCTTCGATGTTGAAGACATACAGACGTATTTGTTTTTTATTTTGATTTACCGTTACATATTTATTATTAGGAATAATTCAGGTGAGTGTATAAACAAATCTCTCTGAAGGACAATAAAGTACGGATACAGGGGAATCACTTGTTTTCCACAATTATATACTTTACAGTAGTATAATATACTATCTTGGCATTAACATACCTTATTTTTTCATTCCATATGGGACTGATTATCTAAGAGGACCTTTTAAGAAAGTCCGCAAACCGAGATCGAATAGTTTATATCCAGATTTTTATTGTTCTTAATGAGTAATGAATTACTAGAATTTTCTACCCGAGCGCATGATATTAGTACCTTTTGTTGATACATTTAAGGTTAGATTAGATTGGGTTTACTGACATCACATCCTATTTCCAAAGTCTATCTGATCGCAAACATATTGAAACTGTAAATTGAGTATTTCTATTGTTAGTTTGGATTAAACTTAAATAACTGTTGTCATGACATGAAATCAACTTTTCAATTGCAAAGATATTATGAAGAGTCGTTTTTATCCGATTGCAAGAATGAATTTGATCTCAACTCTTTAGCAGATAATATTGATTTCACTGTTTATAACTATCTAGGTCACGATATACTTGTGTGCCGAAAACCAGCCTTAACAGAACATCATAGCTCTAGATTGAAGACTGATGACAGAATCGACTTATTATACGATTTGAAAACATCTCTGGAAGAGGAACGACGTGAAAAAACTGGTCATTCATATGATTATAAACCTCAGAAAATGCAGTGTGGGCCTCATTTTCTTCACCGCGCTCAATTTCACTCTTCGAAATGTGCGTTTCCAAATCCAAAAATAAAAGTCAATATTGAAAACCTTCATATGTACCCGGGCTTGAAGTGGAGTGTGAACAGAACTCAAAAAATAAGTAGACGAACTGCTTCCAGGTCAAGCAATGTCATTCCAATAACCAGCTTCATAAGTGATATATTTAAATTACATAGGATTCAATAAAAGCGTCTTAAGATTGACAAAGTTATGTATGCACAATGGAGAAGATGAACTGTAACCACATAAATATATATGGAAATAGCAACATGTCCACATTAGCTAGTACAATAAACTGCAATATATTTCCCTCGGGAGAGATAATGAATTACAAGTGTAAACAAGTTTTTCAGATGTTACTTTTGGTACTGACTATATTCCAAACTGCATGAAATTGTATTACCCACAATGCTAGCTATTCGTCTCTACATTTTGACTCAAATGTTTTGTCTTTAGAATACCATCGTGGATTTGTTTGGTTTTAAAACGATAAAATTCATAGGCATGTCCTTAACAGAAGCTAAGTATTGTTTGAGTGAAAAAATAGTCTTTTTAATAAACATTAAAGTCTGCTCCTTTTAGACACATTTGACGTACATGTTCACTTCCTTTAAAAAACTCATGTATTTATAAATTTAAATAAATTAAAATTCGAATAATTCTTGTTCTTATGAAAGCCATAGGTCATTAGATAACACTCATTGCGTTTGGTCGTATCGATAAACGTCAAAAAATATGATGGACTCTCTATATCACTCAGTAGTCGTCATATTTTCTGTTTCACTTCCACAGTTATACGTCAACAGCGTATAAAATATAATTGTTGACTGATAAATTACAAAATGTAGACTTACTAAGGATTCACTCGAAAATCTTTCTGTGAAACGCTTTATCTCAAATAGTCAATTTGACGACCATGCTAATATCAAGTCGTATGAATTTCAACTTAAAAGAAGGTCTGATGACTTTGAAGGCATGAAGAGAGATGTATTATCACATAACAGTTTTAGATTTAGTACTGTGACAATCACATTCATACTAAAGAACTACCTTTGAGTGTTCTCTCTGAAGATGTAGGGGAAATTAAGTTTAAGCCGTTGACAAGTAAGTTGTAAAAGCTAGAATCTTTTATTTCAACAATCTCTTCTTGAAACTTGTAATTGACTACAGATTTTAGGGACGTTAGGTTTGTTTTCCCCTAAGTGTGTTCATGTGGTTAAGTTAAACTTTCAGTTATTCCTCTGATTGTTAACTTTAAAACTACATTATGACATTTACCTGAAGCGAATGTAGAGATTGTCTAATTTCTTCATCAGTTTTCTGTAATGACATTTACAAAACAACAAACCAGAAAATTTAAGACTTGTCCTATCAACGGCCATGATTAGCAGTAAACACTTTGTAGTGACTTTGTTTTGCTAAACAATCGTCTCGAGAACCGTTATAATATAAGTCCAAACGGTGTTTGAAATCAGAAGACAAAGAGAAGAGGCAAATATAGTTTATTAGTAAATAGCGCAGATCACAAAGCTAAAAGCACATCGAGCGTATTTGAAGCGGAGAAGCGAATAAGTATATGTAAGCAAATACATAGGTAAATTTATAGTCAAATAGCATAAGGGTGTAGCAAGGCAAAACGAAAGCTAACAATAAGATTTAAGTATATATATATAGCCAGAGGGGTCCTACAAAAATGAGTAAATAACATATAATTAGACGCAAAAAATGTCTCTCAGTCTCAGCACTTCCGACACTCGTTTCAACCATGTTCGTCTGGATATTGTGAGACATCCACCAAATTCAGATGGATACTTTTCTTAGATGTATTCCGATTTTCGGTGCGTCATCCAGTCTGCCGAGGTCAATATGGAAAAGATCTCCATAATTCCCAAATCAAGAGTAAAAAATAACACATGCTAGACATCAAAATTAAATTCAAGGATTGCATTAATGACTGAATCAGCGAGGGGACATTTGTAATTCTCCAGAAGCAGGGTTTTGCCGGGGCAGGCACAATTTTTGGATAAGAGCTCCCATGATTATGATTTGATATTATTCAAACCGCTTCTCTTGACACTCCAAATAAGCTACTAGTTGCTCCAAAGAAATATTCACCGTATTTTTCCCCGTCGCTACTGATAAGTCCTCCGAATGAATGCTAGATTTCATTCCTAAACCCTATTAGTAACCCCCAGGTTAGATCCACACAACGTGAACACGAGGGAAAACCTGAGAAATATGGAAGAAATGCTTTACTCCAAAGGTTTGTTTATGAACAGAAAATCCAAGATTTTTATAGTATTTTAGATGGTCTTGGGTTGCCGGAAAATTATCGAACGCTACTAAACATAGTAGCAGTATTGGTAATCATCCAATCAGAAACCCGATATGTGACTTCTTTTTCTCGATGTTTCTGGCAAAACTCCTAGTGAATGCTGACTGGATAAGATGCTTCTCGGTGTTTTCAGAGCCCTTTTGGCTTTTTTGAGGAATTTTTTGGATCTCTTTAACAGACCAGCCAGTGTTGTGAATTAGACGAAGTCTCGAAATAAAACGGAACGGATTCGTTATGTGGACGACACATTCATCATCGTCAAAAAGGACGAGCTGGAAAACACCTACAAGCTGATCAACAATGTTTTCGATTACATCAAGTTCACAATGGAACAGGAGTCAAACAACAAACTACCAGTCTTGTATGTATTAATCACTAGAGCCGATACAGGATATCTGGAGACTCAAATATATTGTATGACGACCCACACAGATCAAATTCTCAATTACGGTAGCAACAACCTAGGAGCTCACAAAATCGATTGCGTACAAACTTTGTTCAAGTGAGCGAGGACACACTGCAACACATTTGTAGGGCAGAAAAATGAAGAAAAATATCTAAGGACTATCTTCCAGAAAACGGCTACCCACATAACTTCATCAAAAAATACTAACCAGACGCATCAGCAGAAACAAATTCATGTACGCAAACCAACAAACGGAATATCTCACCATATGTAAAAGGCATATATTAAATTACGAGATTGTTGAAGCCGTTTGGAATAGGCGTAGCACACAAACCAACAAAATCACTTCAATCAATCCTATGCAAACTAAAGAACGAAATGACAAAAGAAGAAAAACCAGACACCATCTACAAATTAAATCGTTCCAACTGCGTAAAGTGGACGCCATCTTCATCTTCGCCTGGACGAACACCAATTAGTGGTCAAACGTCATGATATATCGTCACTTATATCAATGCATGCGGACAATTGTGGACACACATTCGACTGGGAAAATGTTAAGATTTTGGATGGAGATAATTCTAAAAACGCCAAAGGATCCTTAGAAGCTTGGCGCCCAGGTCAATCAGCAATCGACAAGCACATTAAAATCGACCCAATTTATCAACCAATCAGAAAAATTACGGACAAATATAGGACCAGGAATCAAATTGATGGGAGATACAATCAAAATAAAGAGGTACACAATGACAGGTTAAAGGTCAACAATAACCAATCAAGATCGAAGTCTACAGGACAAGCTGTGAGCCATATGTGGAGAACTTCGAACATTTCACTTCTACCTGAAGTTTTTGATGATGATATCGTTCAGAATAACGATGAAAGCTGCACGACTAAACCATCCAGCTCGGAGGACAAAACTCCACCAAAATCATTCACCTGAGCTAAAACTCTTCACCCTATCAACACCGGGATCAATCAAACTATGACAGATTCAGTTAACAACTTTATTTATTGTAATTATCACATCGTTCTTTAAATCACTTAGTTATCAGTTCAACTTTATTTTCACAATCATTTGTGAAATTATAATATTGTTATGTAACACTACCATTCTATGAGTATTATTTTATTGTTATAAATCACAGATATCAATGCAGAATCATGATGGATATCTAACTGAAAAGTTATGTTTCTTCTCTATCCTTTTTCTCGCCTGATTACTTTCGCAAACTTTTGAACAGTTTGATTAGAAGATCCTCACAAAATTGAAAGGGAGATTTGTTATAAATATTCTATCGCAATTTCTGACAATAAAACTCATGTTATCCTTTCTGTGAAGTTGAATAAACGGGAGACAAAATGGACTACTATAACTAGCTATTTTTTCTTCATTTAAAATATTTCAATGGAGTACAATTTAAATTCGTACAGTTTTCAATATACGCACAAGTAAGATTTACTTTCACTGTGCTTCAAAATAATCTCTCGTTCTCTGTATGGTTTTGTTGATGAGAGATTGTAAATGAAAAGACAACTACAGTATCAATTATTGCAGACGAAAATTTACAAGTAGCAGAACTCAGACTACTCAACTACTCTTGTTAATCATGAAACAGATTGACGACAATGAATGAAAATATTTGTAATAATATTGTTTCTTGGAGATTCTTTGGTAAGTAAAATTGCATTATCTTGTATGTTTAGATGAATAGATTATATTAACTGCATTATATTTCTTACTGAGTAGTGAATTAATTCTGGTGAGGTGAAGGAAAATTGACCAACCAGTTTGTATGGACTCAAATAGTAGATGTGGGTCACGAATGATTATCAAAGCACTTTTTTAATGTAATTCAAGGAATTTCACAAGTTGAAATCATGAGCCGATTGAAGCTAGACCACCATGGAAAACCTGGAAGCACTGGACGGCCGTTTCGTTCTAGTATGGGACTCCTCAGCAGTACGCATCCATGACCCCCCCCCCGTGGTCTAGCTTCAATCGGCTCATGGTTTCAACTTGTGAAATTTCTAAAAATCTCCACAAAACCCATTCTGATAGTAATTCAAGGAACCCTGAAACTAACACTACTCACTATTCCCTTAAATTTTCTTCGGATACCTAAAGTAGTAGCTATAACATAAGTCACTTCAGATCACGACCTTAACAGTTACACCATTCGGAGTTATCGTACCCTCGAATTTTGACAATAGTAATGTTACTTCTTTCTTAAACAGCGAATTTCTGATATAAGATCAGATGAACTCAGTCAAAAGGAGTATATCGTGTTGTGATATTCCGATCTAATTGAGTGACTGCCTCACGATTCCTAAATCGCTGACTAGTCCTCTACGAGAATGATAGGTGTATTGAGTACATATATATACATAGATGTTTTTATAAGGTGATAAATACTTTATACATAACTGGTGACTTTATTCAAAATGCCATTGCCACAAATTAAAGTGTGTTCGAGGTCTCTTATGGTGTTCGTACGCTGGTTCATTTGTGTCTACCAGAGAATGTTTTTAAACGAACTGTGAACTTATATCACATTAAGTACTTTTTGTATTATTACTTGTTCCAGTATGATACTAGAATGGTCCACAATGGACTACTTGGTTTGTAACCACAAGACAGGTGAAAAAATCACTCAGTACAGACCCTCACCCTGCACATATTCCTTTCTTACTCACTATTTGATCTTGTAAGAACATGTGATCCACCTAACTTTACAACAATATACGATCTGTTTAGGTTTCCTGGGGTATCGTTTATGTAAACTAACAGTCATTAGATGAATATTACATTAAGAGCATTCGATAATTTGTCAGTTTTTTGGTAAACACAATACATATTTAGATTTTAGTTTATATTAAATTCTTTTAAGGCATAACCTTATAATTGACTTCAA